TTCCTGCTGATTTTTAGAGAGAAAGGAAGGGAGGAGTAGAGAGAACATCGTGAGAGAGTGGACTATCCATTGCTCTGCCTCCTGCATGGCCCTACCGGGGATCGCAGTCCGCAGCCACAGCCCAGGCAGGTGCCCTGAGCAGGAATGGAACCGTGACCGCCCGGTGCACGGAATGACACTCAACCCAATGAGGCACACCGACCAGGGCAGGTGTCATGACTTCTAAATCTTCTAGCTGGTTCATGAGACAAAGGCTGGGGAGCTTCTTAACCCAAAAAGTCTGGGGATGGTCTTCTGGGGTCCTAAACTGTCTTCCTCATTATATACACCCAGTCAGCCTGCAAGTTCTCTCGATTCCAGAAGATCTGGGATCGAGATCTTCCCTAGCTCACCCCCACCTAATGTCTCCCAATGCTTCCTGTTACACCAGAGAGAACTTCAGGGCTCCTGGCAACCCTCTTGCTCACCCTCTCCGGCCACGCTATTTCTTTTCTTTTTTTTTCTTTTTTTCTTTTTTTTAATATAAGCATGACAATTTTTTTACATATATATATTTTATTTATTTTTTACAGAGAGGAAGAGAGAGGGATAGAGTTAGAAACATCGATGAGAAACATCGATCAACTGCCTCTTGCCCCTTCCCCCCCCCGGCCCCCCCCCCACACACACACTGGGGATGTGCCTGCAACCAAGGTACATGCCCTTGACCAGAATCGAACCCCGGGACCTTTCAGTCCGCAGGCCGACGCTCTATTCACTGAGCCAAACCGGTCTCGGCCCCCTTGCTATTTCTTAAATAAATTAAAAACTTTCCCCACCTAAGCAGCCTTTGCACTTGCTCTTTCTTCTCTCTGGCTATTTATATTCCAACACCTTTTCATCACTCAGGTCCTACCTAGTTCATATATCCCCTGCTCAGGAAGTCCAGTCCCGATCACCGTCCCCCACCCCAAATCTAGTGACTGTCCTATGACCCTGTTTAATTGCCTTCACAGCAGATGTTCCAGATCAACAGATCCTGCTCCTGTTTTCTTTCTTCTTATGACATCTTGCTGCCATAGCAGTGACTTGCAATGATATTTTTATGTGACCTATAGTAATATAAATTTCACATGTGACCCAGCCACCCAAGTGTCATGGCTGTGTAACAAATTAGCCCCAAATTTACTGGCTTTAAACAACGACTTGTATCTTGCTCACAGATTTGCAGTTTGAGCAGGGCTCGATGGGGACAACTCTCTTTGCTCCTCTTGGTGTCAGCTGGGATGGCCGGAGGCTGGGAGTTGGGATCATTTCAGTATTCACTCACTTGTCTGGTGCTTCAGGCTGGCTTATCTGGGACCTTCATGTTGCCTGGGCCTCCTCTCACCATGGCAGCTGGGCTGAGATAGAGAGAGAAAGAGAGAGAGAGAGAGAGAGAGAGAGAGAGAGAGAGAGAGAGAGAGAGAGAGAGAGAAACCCAAGACTGAGAGAGAGCTGTCACCAGGCAAGAGATGTATCCTAGCTTCTGACCTATGCTTGGAAGTTGCACAGCGTCCTTTTTGCCACATGCTACCGTGTTTCCCCGAAAATTAGACAGACCTAGTGCATGGAAAGATAAGACATCCCCTGAAAATAAGACCTAGCGCGAGTTTGGGAGAAAAAATTAATATAAGACACTGTCTTATTGGATGTCCTAGAGAGAATCCAAGATGGCTGCACAGGTAAACACCTAGCTGCAGCCGCACACAACAATTTCAATAAAATACAACTAAAATATAAAATGGACATTACCCAGAATTACAGAAAAGTCGACTGACTGGAAATTCTACAATGAGAAGCAAGGAGAAAACCAGAAGGAAGAGCGGAGGAGCTGTAAAAGCCTAAGGTACGGAGACACGCGGCGCGCAGAGAGGCAGTCCCGGAGGTGCGCACATTGTGCGCAGAGGATGGACTGCTGATTCTGCTGCCAGATTGCCCTGGCGGGAAGGAGACAAAGGCTCCGGACTGTGCTGGGCCCCAGTTCCGACTCCTCTGAACCCCAGTTCTAGACCAGACCCCGGGGACCCAGACTTAAACAGAGGGAGCTGGGCTGTAAGGCGGAACCCCAGGGGAGCGGCGAAAGGAGGTCCCGAAGGTGTGCACATTGCTCGCAGAGAAGGGACGGTTGGCTGTGCCACGGGATTGCCCTGGCAGGAAGGAGACAGGGGCTCCCGACTGCTCTGAACGCCACTTCCAACTCCACTTGCAACTGAACTGAACCCCAGTTTCGGGCTCATTGGGGGAGAGCATAGACTGTTTGGTAGCAGGCAAAAATCAAGGGCACCTTTCTCTCAGAGGTGCTTGCAGCGAGTACTGAAGGACCCTGGGGATTACTGAGACTCAGGAACTGCATAGGGCGTGGCTGATGGAAGCCAAGCCTGTAGGCTCCACCCTGAAACTCCGCCCCATCAGGGAAGCGGCGAAAATGCCAAAACAATAAAATAGATCACAAACGAAAGAAATGGAGGACAAAAAGCGACTGGATATAGAGTTCAAAACCACACTTATAAGGTTATTCAAGAATCTCCTAGAAAAGGCCGATAAAATAAATGAGGCCTATGAGGATATGAAAAGGGATCAACTAGAAATAATAAAGGATCAACAAGAAATAATAAGGGATCAACAAGAAACAAAGAATACATTGTCTGAAATAAAAAATATTATACCGAGTCCTAAAAACAGAATGGAAGACCGCAAGAATCAAGTCAAAGATTCGGAACATAAAGAGCCAGAAGACACTCCTCCGCAGGAGCAAGAAGGCAAGAGAATCCAGAAAATTAAAGATAATGTAAGAAACCTCTGGGACAACTTCAAGCGAACCAACATCAGAATTATGGGGTCCCAGAAGATGAGAGAGAGCAAGAAAACATACTGAAAGAAATAGTGACAGAAAACTTCCCCCACCTGGTGAAAGAATTAGACTTACAAGTCCAGGAAGCACACAGAACCCAAACAAAAGGAATCCAAAGAGGACCACACCAAGACACATCATAATTAAAGTTCCAAGAGCAAAAGACAAAGAGAGAATATTAAAAGAAGCAAGAGCAAAGCAGGTAGTTACCTATAAAGGAGCACCTATACCATTGTCAGCTGATTTCTCAACAGAAACCATGCAGGCCAGACGGAATGGTAAGAAATATTCAAGGTGATGAATAGTAAGAACCTACAACCAAAAATAATCTATCCAGCAAAGCTGTCACTCAGAATCTAAGGCCAGATAAAGAGCTTCACTAATAAAAAAAAAAAAGCTAAAGGAGTTCATCACCACTAAACCAGAATTATATGAATTGCTGAAGGGGGTTCTTTCGGAAGAGAAAGTAAATAAAGATAAAAATTATGAACAACAAATACGTAACTATCAACAAGTGAATCTAAAAACCAAGGAAATTAAAAAAATCTGATGAACAATATTAACTGTTGAATATAATAGAATCAGAGGTATGGAAGGGGAGTGAACTGACGATTCTTGGGGAAAAGGGGATAGGGAGGCGTGGGAAGAGACTGAACATAAACTGTGCACCTATGGATGAGGACAATGGGGGGTGGGTAAAGGACAGAGGGTGGGGTGGGAACCTGATGGGGGGGGGGGGAACTGAGGAACTTTTGTAATAATATGAACAATAAAGATTGATTAAAAAAAAAAAGACACTGTCTTATTTTCGGGGAAACAGGGTATTTGTTGCACAAAGTCCTGCTCATGTTAAAGAGGAAAGGAATTAGAGTCTAGCCTTTGATGGGGAGTGGCAAAGTTGGAACTTCGGTATTTCTGTAGTCATTTTTCAGAAATACAACCTGCCACACCCAGGATAAAAATGCAGAATTTGGAGTGTCCCCAAGTAATACAAATACTTAACTAACCCTCCATGCACAGAGCACTGAAATTTTCTTTCTTTTTTAATTTTAATTTTTTACATTTTTTCATTAAATTATTAACTGTGTACATATTTTAACATTGCCCCCCCCTCCCATCCATACCCTCCCTCCCCAGAGTTTTGTGTCCATTGGTTGTACTTATATGCATGTATACAAGTCCTTCAGTTGATCTATTATCTCCCCCAGATCTCCCTACCCTACCTGCTGTAATTTGACAGTCTGCTTGTTGCTTTTCTGTCTCTATATCTATCTTTTGGTTCATCAGTTTATAATGTTCTTTATTATCCATAAATGAGTGAGGTCATGTGATGTTTCTCTTCCATTGACTGGCTTATTTCACTCAGCATGCACTGAAATTTTCCACTGCATTTTGTAGCAACGGCTGGTCATGACCCACTGCTTTTATTTCTTCACCTCAGTCCGAGAACATGTCACGAGTGTGCAGTTTGCCTTTCCTCTACGGTAACCCAGCACCTAGCATGACATTAAGCACCTCACCAGCTAGCATGTCTTATGTTTTAACACTGTCCTATGTAGCTCCTATTGAGTAACAGAGAGATCGTCCTCATTTAATCTCACGCCAACCCTGAAGCAGGTACAATGATGATCCTCACTCTATTGAGAAGGAAAGTGAGGCACAGAGGGATGAAATTATGTGCCCAAGGTAACACAAGCTAGTAGGTAGAAAAGCTGGGATTGGAATCCAATAAATCTGGTTATAGACTCCATCTTCTTGCTATGCAGACACTTACTGAATTTACTTATTTATTGTGAGTTTCCCACGCACACTGTAGAACCTCAGATCCACTAGAAGCAATTCACTGCTTGGCCCTTGGAATGCCTCCCTGCCTGCTGCAGGTGCTCACACTAGGGAGATAGCCACAGCTTCAAGCTCTAGCAGCCACTTTCCCGTCTGCGCAGGCGCATCAGGTAGGACCTAGAGGCAACCTGCGTCGATTGGCCATCGCCAATGACTGACAGGACCCGGCGCAGGCGTACTAGGCCAGACCAGAGGGGCGTTCCCCCATTCGTTAATGACTGGCGGAGGATCAAGCCAATAGAAACGGAGCTCTTCAGGAAGGGGGCGGGCCTAGCAAACAGTTAAATTTGCGCGGGATTGGCGCTCGCGCAGTCATGGCGGCCTTCCGCGACATGGAGGAGCTGTGCCAGGGGCTGCTGAGCCTCCTGGGCGCCAACCACGCGGCGGCGCAGCAGCGGCGGCTGCTCGGGCGCTACGGGCAGATGGTGGAGCGGCTGCTGGAGACGCAGGACGGCGCCGAGCAGCAGCTGCGAGGTGAGGGCCGGGGCCTCCGCCGGGCGAGGCCGGGACCGGCCTCCCGAGCCCCGCCTCCTGCGTGCCCCCGGCCCTTGGCCGGTTTCCCAGGGGGCTAGCGGGCGGGCGGGCGCTGCTCCCTCTGAGCCTCAGTTTCCCCACCCGTGAAATGGGCTTTAGGACCGCAGCCCCCTCCAGGGGTTTGGTGATGAATATAGGAGTTGGGGCGCCTGGCGCAGTTCTGAGCGCTCGGGGAGCAGGGACTGGGAGACTCTAGGTTTGCATTGGGGCTCAGGAGTCCAGGTGCCGGGTTTGAAACCCAGCCTTTCCACTTCCTAAGGTTATTTAGATGTTTTACTTAGCACCTGCCGTGTGCCAGGCGTAGTGCCCACCCTGGATGGCAGCAGACAGCAGAACAAAATCCCTTAGGGGAGCTGATATGCTAGTAGGGGATGGCAAGAAAAAATGAACACGTCTGGAGGCGACAGGCCCAGGAGAAAACCTAGGCTGTGTAGGGAGGAGTGGTGATGTTTTGGGGCGGGGTCAGGGAAGGCCTTCTGAGATGATATTTTAGTAGGAACCCAAGAAGGTGGGGGGAGCCAGGGCTATGGAGAGGATTAAATAAATGGATGTGGATAAAGTGCCTCCGGCTGCATGTGGGGAGAACATTGGACAGATAGTATCATTTTTGACTAATCCAAGACACCATCAAAAGAAGACTCTTAGCCCTGAGCCTCAGTTGGTTGGATTTGGGGCCGGAGAGAGGAGTCGGTGTTCTCAGAGCTGAGGCTCTGAGCCAGTGAATCCGGTGCAGACCCAGGCTTCGGAGCTGCGTGCCTGCGGACAAGTCCCTGAGCCTCAAATGGTGGGAGGGGTTGGGCCACCTCCCTCAGCGGGTGAGGGTGCGCTGAGCGGGGGGGGGGGGGGGGGGGGGGGGGCCCAGGTTATCCTGCACACAGAGCACACGCTCAGGAGGGTGAGTGGAGAAGGGGCAGGAAGGCTTCGTAAGAAACCAGACCCTCAGCTCCCCTAACAGGAAATCAGCAGGCACATCTCATCAGACAGATTAAGAAACCAGTGTGAGCAATTACTTAAAACTGTGAAGGTCGGTGCCTGAGAAGATAGTGAAGAGTTGAAAGTCCCTGCCTCAGAGGGGTGGAGAGGCTTAGAGGGGGCATGTGGGTGCACACGTGTGTGTGTGTGTGTGTTTTATTTTTTTTTTTATTGATTTTGTACAGAGAGGAAGGGAGAGAAATAGAGAGTTAGAAACATCGATGAGAGAGAGTCATCGATCAGCTGTCTCTTGCACACCCCCTACTGGGTGTATGCCTGCAACCAAGGTACATGCCCTTGACCGGAATTGAACCTGGGACCCTCCAGTCCCCAAGCCAACGCTCTATCCATTGAGCCAAACCGGTTTCGGCTGTTTTTTTTTAAGTATATTGATTTTTCACAGAGAGGAAGGGAGAGGGACAGAGAGCCAGAAACGTCGGAGAGAGAGATACATCGACCAGCTGCCTCCTGCACCCCCCCCCAACGGGAATGCGCCTGCTACCAATGTACATGCCCCTGACCGGAATCGATCCTGGGACCCTTGAGTCCACAGACCGACGCTCTATCCACTGAGCCAAACCAGTTTCGGCCACATGTGTGTGATTAAATGTTCACAACCATATACATGTAATAATAGTTTGGTTAAAGGTTAACAGTGTCCGATTGTAAACACTTACATGCCAGCCGGTGGAGAAGCGCTTTTATCTGTGTTGGCAGGTTCCCCCGCCTCTGTGGGAAGGAACACAGCGACCTGAAGGTGTTCTTAATCTTTCTGGGTTTGTGTTCCACACGTGTTTGTTCTGAGTGGGTGCTGGCAGCATGTGGTGACTCTCAGATGCAATCTCGGGTTCGAGGAGGAAGTAACTCAGTGTGAGAGGTCTGTCACGGAGCACAGTTGCCCCAGGAGGGAGAAGAGAGTGTCCCGCTGTCTGGCATTACCCAGAAGGTTCGATGTGTCCCACGGAGGACGGGCAGGCAGAGGCCCAGGGCTGTGAAAAATGTGGCATTTGCAGAATGAGGCGTCCTTACAGCCAGAGCGGAGAGAAAAACACGTGGTGGAGTGAAAAGGAGGGAGAGGGGGCTGGCGGGAACGGTGAAGGTGCTCAAAGGGCCCTGGACCTTGCCCCGGAGACACGGGACCATGGGGGTCTGAGTAGGGGAGGGACTTCACAGGCAGCCGCTGAGGATCGGCCGATTGGCAACAGGAGAGACCACGCCAGGGCAGGGGGAGGCGTACGGGTGGCCTCAGGGACGAAGGACCTGAGGCAGGGGGACCTGTCAGGCCTGGATGGCCAACAGGATGCAGAAAGCGAGTCAGTCCCAGGCTTCTTGCTCGGCAGCAGGAGGGATTGTGACGTTATAGGTTAAGATTAGGTGTGCGAGAACCTTTTTTAATTCTTTTGTGTGGATTCAGATGTGTCTCAGTGAAATGGCAGTGTTTGTGAGAGGTCCGGGGGAAACTAGTAGACTTTTGGAAGTAAGGTGAATGGGCTGGGGGGCTGCGGACAGGAAAGTGGGACCGTTCATGGTTGATCGTTGATGGGGGGGAGGGTAGTTGAGGCCACAGGCCCGTGAACCACAGTCTGCTCCTCGGGCTCTCCCACCCGCAGAGATCCTGAAGGCAGAGAAGGGTGTGGCCCAGAGCCTCCTCGATGCGAAGGAGCTGGCGAGCCAGGGCGGTGCCGAGTTGCAGCAGATCGAAGCCAAACTTCAGAAGGCCAGCGAGCAGGACACTCACCTGCAGGCCAGCCTCCTATATCCTTTCCTGCCGTTCGAACAGCCGGGCCTCGGCCTCTCCTGGGATCCTGGGGGGGTGAAGTCATTCACGCTAGAAACCGTGCTTGGAGCCAGGAGCCCTGGGCCCGTGGGGCTGCTTTAGCATGAAGGCAGCCCTCCCTCCCTGCATCAGGGATCCTTAACTTCCTGCTCTACTCAGCTCACCAGGGAGCTGGAGGACCTCAAGGAGGTTGAGGCTGATCTCGAGAAACAGGAGAAGGAAGTTGACGACGACACGACGGTCACCATCCCTGCAGCCATGTAGGTCCCGTAACTGCCAGTGTGAGGGCATGCCGGGTCTGTGTGTTCAGTCACAGCTTTGGTCGGGGTGGATGCTGGGGTAACTTTCTTTTCTCTCTCTCTCTTTTGTATTCATATGCAGGTATGTGGCTCAACTTTATCACCGAATTAGTAAAATTGAGTGGGATTATGAGTGTGAACCGGGGATGATCAAAGGCAGTATCCTTTGTGGAGAAAAGGAGCCGTGTGCACTGCTGGAGGGCATGTGAAATGCTGCAGCCGCGGGGGGAGCAGGGTGGGGGTCCGAGGGTAAATCCTAAAGGGACAGATACGTCATTGTTCCTAGTAGCACTGGTCGCAGAAGGTGGAGGCAACCCATGTGTTCACTGCTGTGGAGGACATGCTGAGCGGAAAAAGCCGGGAGCAGAAAGATAAATACTGTAAGACTGCACTTACATGAGGTCCCAGGTTCAGTTCTGGTCAAAGGTGTGGACCTCGGTTCCAGGCTCCTCCCCCCGCCTGGGCCCTCGGCGGGGCACGTGCAGGAGTCAAAGTCAGAGACAGGAAGTAGATGGTAGGTTCAGGGGCCGGGGAGCTAGTGTTTAATGGGGACAGTGTTTGAGTTTCACAATGAAAAGGTTCTGGAGATGGATGGTGTGTTAATGCCCCTGACCTACACACTTACAAATGGCTAAGATGGTGCCCTCGCCTCCGGACAGAGCGCTGGCCTGCGGACCAGAGGGTCCGGGTTCAGGTCCGGTCACGGGCATGTACGGGCTCCAGGCTCCTCCCAGCCTGGGCACCTGCAGGAGGCAGCCAGTGGGTGTGTTTCTTTCACGTCGATATTTCTTTTCTTCTTTTTAGATATATTTTATTGATTTTTCACAGAGGAGAAGGGAGAGGGATAGATAGCTAGAAACATCAATGAGAGAGAATCATCCACCAGCTGCCTCCTGCACACCCCCACCGGGGATGTGCCTGCAACCAGTGTATTATACATGCCCTTGACCGGAATCGAACCTGGGACCTTTCAGTCCGCAGGCCGACGCTCTATCCACTGAGCCAAACCGGTTTCGGCTCACGTCGATGTTTCTGTCTTTCCCTCTCTAAAAATCCATGGAAAAATATCCTTGGATGAGGATTTAAAAAAAAAGAAAGAAAATGGTTAAGATGGTAAATTTCGTGTTATGTATTTTACCACAATTTATAAAAACAATATGGTGCATTATTGGAGCTTAAGATTTTCTTCACGAAAATCTGTTCGTCGTTGAAGGCACCTTTTGCTGGGGGCCGTGGGGAGGACGGGCGTCGGGTTTCCTTACATCGCGCCCGCAGTCCATCGCGGCCCCAGCGTGGCCCAGCCCATCCACCTGGACAGCACCCAGCTCTCCACCAAGTTCATCAGCGACTACCTCTGGAGTTTGGTGGACACGGAGTGGTAGCCAGAGCCTCCGGACCGTCTTGCACAGAGTGGGAATCATTTGTGGTGTGTGGTTAGTGCCTTGGTGGTGAGATCAGCTTAAAATTAAATGTTTAAACATAAATGGTATTTTTACTGAATTCTCCCCTCCTTTCCCCATTTTTTTGCTTCAGATGCTGGACTGCCCTGGGCCAGGTAACCATTGAGAACTGACTTCACTGTGCCAGGCCTGTGACTTCACAGCTGTGACAACACTGTACCCGTGACACCATAGTGTATGAAGACAAGTTCCCGGTCTTGATCATTTATTATTCAAGTTTGGCCCTTTTTTATTCATTCAGAGAGTATCTTTGAGTGCCACAGTGTTAGGCACCAAGACACAGATGAAGGTGAAAAGGATCCCTTTGCCCCAGGAGGAGTCACGTGTGAGCCGATGCCACCCCAGAGCTATGCCTGGTCAAAACTCATCCCCCAGCCTCTTGCAGCTAAATTGAGCCAATGCAATGTAAGTGGAAGTGTTGTATGAAACTTCCAGAAGAATCCTTAAAAGGCAAGGGAGCGGACCCTCTCTTTCCCCCGCCGTTTACTTTCTGGGGTTTGGGTGTGATGGCTGGAGACGTGGCAGCCACATCCCACAAGTGAGGAGGGGTGCGGCGCGATGGGGGTGACACAGAACTGGTGTCTGAGATGGGGGAGCTGGTGTCAGCCCTGGACCTCCTTAAAGGGGAAGAAGAGGTTGACCCTGAACTTCCGTGTGTCCCATTGTTACTTTTGTGTTTCTATCCCAAACAGTCAAAATAAACCCTAACCGACGGAACCTAGACCAGGGCTGGCCCGTCAGTGTTCTCTGAAGCTCATTTTCGGTGACGGGTACTCTGTGGGAAGCTGCGACCTGCCTGCCTGAGGAGCGGGAGTAGAGCCGTGGACACCTGTTGCCCCCTGGATGCAGCTTTGCCTGGAGCCAGTAGATTGTTCAGGAAGCTCTGGGTGTTGGGTTCTGTACACCTCTATACCACCCAAGTGTTTGCAGTCAGCACAATTAGTGTTTTAGTCAGAGACGGGCATTCTAGGCAGTGGGAACAGCAGATTCTAGCAGCACCTGAGCACAGCCAGTGGGCTCAGCACGGACTGGAGGGCCTGGGGCCAGGAGCCTGCCTGCAGGGCCCAGTAAGGAGGCCTGCCGCCCATTCTGCTCACGCGGTTCCACGTCTCCAGGGCCCGGCTGTTCCTGTGCACAGCCCTCCGGGCGGCTGCCGCTCCCGGTCAGCAGTCTTACCGTGTGAAGTGGGTGCAGAGCCCCCCTCTGCGCCAGCCACGTCTGAAGGGCAGCAGATGACCTGCACTAGGGTTCCACCTCGGCCCTGGTGACCTTGGGGCCAGTCGGTGTGGTGGGCAGTCCTGGGCATTGAGCAGCAGCCCCGGGCCTCCAGCGCGTCAGCCTGGGGACTGAAGGGTCCCAGGTTCAATTCTGGTCACCCCCATGGTGACCGTCTCAGGCTGGTGATGGGAAAAGGCCAGGGGAGTCGGTCCAGGGACCCCGAGCCCCCCCACCCCCCAATCTGTAAAGTGGGTGCCGGTCACCGCAGGGAGCGGATGAGTTCATCCCGCAGACATGTATGTACATCCTTGTACATACATGTACAGCCGTGCTGGTCTCCCTGTGAACTCCCAAGCTCCCCTCCTTCATCAAACAGGAGCACCCACCTCAGCTGTGACCCCACACATGTTTCCGGCTACTGCCAGTGTCCCGTGGCCAGCTAACAGCGGTCATGGTGGCCGTTCCTGCGGGCACAGCTGGCCTCCCCTGCTCGCCTGGGTCGGGGAGGAGCGCCCCCGGCCCAGCTGAAAGTCCGGGCAGGAGAGCACGTTTCCCCCCAAACCTGGAGTGGAGAGCGGGCGTGGGGCTGGGCCGTCGTTCAGGGGGCCGTGGGGCCTGTGCCTGCCTGCAGCTCCGTTTCCCCCGAGGAAGACGGTCCCTCTAGGGAGACTGCATGGACCCAGTCTCCGGGGACTGACCCAAAGGAGTGAGCAAGCGTGTGTGTGTGGGAGCACGGCCTGGCCGGGCCCTGTGGGCGGGTGGGCTCAGGGAGGCGCCTGAGCTCACAGGGGCGGGGAGAACCCCGGCCTCCAACATGCTTGGGCCCTGACTCACTGCCGGGATCTGGCCAGATGCCTGGGACAGCCAGCAGGAGAGGCTCAGGCCCACAGCCTCCAGCCTGCGCCCCTGCCCCGCCCCCGCCCATTCCTGGAGCCTCTCCACCAGCTCTTGGCTGGAGGCTGGAGGCTGGCCAGCAGCCGCTGAGCCTGGCCCCGCCTGTGGAGGGAGGAGGAGGATCCATGTGCCCAGGACCAGGGAGTGGGGAGCCAGGTCACCGGACTGCGGAACCCAGGGTCAGCCCTGACCCTGCGCCCACCCCACCCCCAGCGAGGGCCTGGCACCACCCCGAACAGAGGACAGTCCATGTTACAGACGGGAAGACGGACCGGTCAGAACGGGGCCCAGGGACACTTCACTGTAGATGAGAAGGGCTTGTCCGGGGTCACACAGGGAGAAAGACCAGCGAGAACAGACTGAACCTGCGCTAGGTCACGCCCGAAAGGTGACAGAAGCAGGCCTGGGTTCAGACATCGTTTTTTTTTTTTTTTTAAGGGAGGGGGCATATAGTTTTGTTATAGATTTTTATTGATTTCAGAGAAGAAGGGAGAGGGAGAGATAGAAATATCAGTGACACCCCCTACTGGGATCGAGCCCGCAACCCAGGCATGTGCCCTTGACCAGAATTGAACCTGGGACCCTTCAGTCCCCAGGCTGATGCGCTATCCACTGAGCCAAACCAGCTAGGGCTGTGAAGTCATTCTTGATTGGTGGTTGCTGGTCAGGTATGCACACACCTGGTCGACCTGGCTGACAGGAGGTGTTGCTGAGGCCAAAGCCCTCACCCCACCCCCCGGCGAGCTCAGCGAGGCCGGCAGGACGGTCTCAGCACGGACGGACACAGCATTGTTTGGATTCCCGGGGCCTCCGTGTGTGGCCCACACTGATCCGCCGCACGGCGGCCCCAGGACCCCAGCGGCCTGGACTGCGAGGTGAGGGCTCGCCTCTGGGACCTGCACCCGTGAGGAAGCCACGCTCCACGGAGCCCTGGCTTCAGGGCTGAGCGGGTGCTGAGTGCTAGCTCCATGGCTCCTTACAGGGAAGGTTGGCAGCTGATGTTGGCAGAGCTGGGGTTGAACTGGATCCAGAACTTGAGTTTAACCCTGAGGTCATTCCAGTGTCTGATAAATGCTGTTGGTATTTGGAGGGGCGAGGGCTTTGTAGGAGGCCCAGGGAGGAGGTGTCGTGAGAGCCCAGACCTGAGCCCCCAGGGGACAGGAGTCGGAGCCAGTGATCCGGGCACAGGGAGCAGCACTGAAGCCTGGCGTTCTGAACCACAGCGGCCAGGGCGCAGGGCACCCCGAGGCCACAGGGCTCCGTCACGCTGGGCCTGCCGTCCAGTGGGACGTGGGGAGGATCCCAGAGTCCAGCCGTGCTGGTCTCCCTGTGAACTCCCAAGCTCCCCTCCTTCATCCAGGCAGCGTGGGAGGGGAGGCAGGGCGAGAGGGAGCAGCTGGGCCGGGAGGGTGGGGCTCGGGAAGGAGGAAGCCCCTCGGCTGAGGGCAGGAAGCTGCACTGAAACCCGAGCTGAACTGCCTGGAGGGGCGGCGATCGGGCCCAGGGGTGGGTGACGGGACCTGTACAAGCTCACACAGCCCTCAGCCTCATGGCGGAGAGGGTGCTGCTTTCCCCCCACCCGCCTCCCAGGCAGGGCATTGGGGGCAGTGCTCCCCCGGCCCCCCTTCTCCTCCTTCCCTGCAGAGGACCTGGCCCAGCCCCGCAGGCTCCAGCCTGACTCACCACAGGCAGCTGTGGTTGGGATGCCAGGGCTGGGGGCGGGCAGCAGCAGAGGACGTGTAGAGCGTCGGGCTTGGGAGAACAGCTTCCTCTGCCACCCACCCGGACCCGCCAGAGCTGTGGAGCCTATACCCATACTGGGGAGGCAGCCCCCAAACCCCAGACTGCGCCCCTTCCCTTCCGGGACCAGCCCCTTAGGTGCGGGCTGAGCCCATAGGCCAGGAGGATGGCCAGTCAGTCCAGGGGGCTGAGCTTTACCTGGTGACATTCACACCTTTCGCTGAGGGACCCCATTCTGAGCCCAGGGGACCAGCCAGAAAGGGGTCACCCCCATGGTGACCGTCTCAGGCTGGTGATGGGAAAAGGCCAGGGGAGTCGGTCCAGGGACCCCGAGCCCCCCCCCCCCCCATCTGTAAAGTGGGTGCTGGTCACCACAGGGAGCGGATGAGTTCATCCCGCAGACATGTATGTACATCCTTGTATGTCAAAGCTCTAACCCCAGGTGGTGCCATAGCCAGTGCCCAGAGGGTGCCTGATGGTAATAGTGACTACTCCTTCAGCAAAGCCGTCACGGCCGGGTTCCAGAAGCTTCCCTGCCTCTGCCTCTCCCCCCGTCCCCCCTCACAGTTCTAACCCCTTCTCAGCTCCCTCCAGCCAACTCCCCTGTGCAGGCCTTTCAGGTCCATTTGTCCCATTTGCCACATGACTGAGCATCGGCTCAGTCAATCACCCAATTATTGACCGTCCGTGTGCAAGCCCGATGCTTCCTGTTTGGCCAGTTCAGCTTTCACCCCAGAGGCATTTTGGAGCCTTCCCAAGACAAAAGGCGGAAGAAAGGAAGGAAGTGCCACCCTGTGGACAGAAATGATAGCAGCTCCTGGTCTTCACCTCCCACCACAGATCACAGAACCGGGAGGTGGCTCGGCCTTGGCCCAGGTTTTATTGGGGAAACTGGCTTTGATGGGCCCAAGGTCATCTGTCAACCCAGGCGGCCTGACTCAGCCTGTGCTCTTCCCCACCAGTGCCCCTGCCCCGGGCCTGCTCCTGCCAAGCCCCCCCCATCAGCTGTGGGAATTAGAGGAGAAAATTTAATATTGCTATTTGCCCTTTATAATAGAAGTGTCAGAGATGAAAGAAAATTAGTAAAAATGTATATAAAAACCTTCCTCTGCCAGAGGCTGGGGCACACCATGGGACCCAGAGTCAAATCCCCGCCCACCCACATGCACCTCAAAATCATATGAGACCCAGACCCTGCCGGCCCCCCCATTGGGCTAGATCCAGACCCAGCCAGTCCCACCCTTATCAAGCCCTGTCAGGCAGAGGGGGTAGCCTCAGGTCCCCTGGCCCAGCGCCAGGATGGGGGACGTGGCCTGAGGTCCCCCAGCCCAGACCGGGGTGGGGAGTGCAGCCTGAAGTCCTCTGTCAAGCTCCACTGGGGCTGGGGAGGGCATAGCCTCAGGCCCCTGCTGATTGCTTGTTAAGGCTCCTTATGGGAACTTGGCCTCAGCTGTGTGTGCAGCCATCTTTGTGATGGAGTGTTGGTCAATTAGCATATTCCCTCTTTATTAGATAGGATATATCAATATCAATATACATATATATATATATATATATATATATATATGTGTGTGTGTGTGTGTGTGTGTGTGTGTATATGTGTGTGTATATATATATATATATATATATATATATATATATCCCCAAGGGTATATTTTCATTTTTTATTTTTAAAATAGATTTTTATTGATATCAGAAAGGAAGAGAGAACATCAATGATACCCTAACTGGTTTGGCTCATTGGATAGAGCATCAGCCTGCGGACTGAAGGGTCCCAAGTTAGATTCTGGTCGAGGGCATGTACCTTGGTTGTAGGCACATCCCCAGTAGGGGGTGCGTAGGAGGCAGCTGATGGATGTTTCTAACTCTCTGTTTCCCTTCCTCTCTGTAAAAAATCAATAAAATATATATTTTTAAAAATCAATGATGATAGAGAATCATTTATCAGTTGCTTCCTGCACACACTCCTCCCGACCCCCCTCCAGGCATTGACTCCAAAACCTGGGCATGTGCCCTGACTAGGAATCCGACTGTGACCTCCTGGTTCATAGGCTGACCCTCAACCACTGAGCCACATGGGCTGGGCACTGATTTTTAGAGAGAGTGAAAGTGAGGGGGAGAGAGACAGAGGAACATCGATGTGAGAGAGACACATCCATTGGTTGACCCCCACATGAGCCCAACCAGGAACAAAGATGGAGCCTGCAGCCAAGGTATGTGCCCTTGACCTGAATCAAACCTGGGGCCCTTCAGTCTGCGGGCCGATGCTCTATACACCATCAAACTGGTTAGGGCAGTAATTCTCTTTTTAATTTTCCAAGGAACCACCATACTATTTCCACAGCCTGCACCATTTTACATTCCCACCTACAGTGCATAGGGCTCTGATTTCTCCACATCTTCAACACTTATTTTGTTTTGTTCTATTTTTTAATTTTTTTTATTGATTATGGTATCACATAATTGTCCTCATCTCCCCAATCCCATTCCAAACCCCTTTCTTTCTACATATGCCCTCACACACACACCCCCGCCCCCCCCTTGTCCATGGCCACTGGCCAGGCCCATATGCATGCACACAAGTCCTTTGGTTGATCTCTTCCCCTTACCCCCACCCTCCCCTACTTTCCCTCTGAGGTTTGAGACTCTGATCGCTGCTTCTCTTTCTCTGGGTCTGTTTTTGTTCATCAGTCTATGTTGTTCATCATTTCCTCTAGATGTGTGAGATCATGCGATCTAATGTTTTGTTTTTTATTAGAGTCATTCTAATGGGTATGAGGTGGCATCGCATGGCGCCTGCCTGCCTCCTTTGTCTTTTATACGTAGGTCTCTATATTGAATTCTTTCTGTCCAAACATCTGCTGTGGGCTCTGACTGTACACAGTTGATACTCAGGGACTATTTGTGGTTTGACTGCCATGTTCAAGGGCATGCTGAAATGGCCCCAGGCCCAGGCTCAAGTGAAGCTGTGGTGCACGGGAGTGGAGATGCAGGGTACTGAGATGGATGCAGTGTGCAGAGCAGACACCCAAAGCTCTAGCCAAATATTTCTATGTGGAATCTGTAGATTCAACAAACTTTTGTTAGATCTCAGTGGCGAATGTAGTCACATTTTTAGCCTTTGCTGTATCCTTCCCGAGGCCCTCACACCAACCACTCCGAGGGCCCAAAGGTTTGGAGGGATATGCCCTCCAGAAATACCATGTTCCATGAAGCCTGCGTCTGAGACTCTCCCCACAGACCCTCACATGGCCAGTTATTCTTTCTGACTCAGCTCAAATCCTCTGCCAGTCATTTGTCTGTCCCATTATCCTGTCTAACATTCTTCTAAAATATAGTAATCTTGTTTCCCCTTCTAAAATCTCATGTCCTTGCTCGGCCGGTGTGGCTGAGCGTCAACCCATGAACCAGGTCTGATTCCTGGTCAGGTCACATGCCTGGGTTGTGGGTTCGACCCCCAGTAGGGGGCATGCAGGAGGCAGCCAGTCATGATTCTCTCACAGTATTGATGTTTCTAACCCTCTCTCTGAAATCAATAAAAACATATTTAAAAATTTTAAAAAAAAGTCACGTCTTTGAGGGCCCAGACTCTTAGTCATTTTTATTGTCTTTTTTTTTCTACATGCCTAGAACAGGACCTGGCCACGCAGTAGGTGCCCCATACGTGTTTGTTGAATGAATGAACAAGCAGCAGATTTAGCAAAACCCCAGCTCCGGGGAGCACCCAGCAGAGCTGCCTCCCAGCTGAGCACAACCTCACGAGAGCCTGAGCCTGCCCTGAGCTCAGAGCCGTGCTCCCTCAGATCCTCGCCCCTGCGGAGCCCAGCCCACCAGCAGATGGAGGAAGTGAGGGAACAGAAGAAGACAGTGCATCAGGTTTAGCCAAATGGTTCATTTAAGAAATGTAATCAAAGTAAGACAGTCAGACTATAAAAACATTCTGTACAGAGGTTTAAAATCAAAGCCCACCCCCCGAGCAGCCCACGCAGGCGGCATGGACACGGGTCTCCCGAGGAGCACAGCGCCCGGGCTGCGCACGCAGGTCCGCTGCACAGAAAGACGAGGCCTCTCCCCCGATGCAGGTCCCTGAGGGTCACCCAACAAAGCAGCACCCGGGGTTTGCAAAAATAAATAGATCTGTTTTCATATAGATGAGTGGTAAATGTTTCAACAAATGTGCAAAGTGCAAACACAAACGCCCCGCTCCTAGGGACAGGCTCTATTTACAGGCTTCAGAGCGAGAAACACCTTTCACAGTTTCCCGCGGGCTGGCACCGTGGCTGGTGTCTGTAGTGCACAATGGCAGGGAAGCCCCGGGCCCCTCCCACCGACTCTTCAGTTGTGAATACACGTGTGACAGTTTCGTTTCCTAAGCCCCATCTAAGGACCACACCCACGGATGTCTTAGGGCTGAAACACCATCCCTGACAACTGTCCTGTCGGGGAGATGAATGGCTCAGGGACATGTGCAGAGAAGCAGAAACACCAGCCAGATAACCACATGTTGGCTTTGACGTGCCAGGAGAAAGGCCATGAGACGGCACCTCATCCCCTTTCCACTCCCGGGTCCTCTCAGACCTGGGAGCCCGTCCTAGCCAGACCAGAAAACAGTGCAAAATAAAGAACTGTAGTCTTTACGGATGTACAAACCTGAACTAGAAAAGTGCAAAGGCACGTGGGAGGGGCTGGCACTGGGTCACAGGCTGGTCCGGACAGCCCCCCAGGGGCTGGAGGTCACTGCTAGGGGTCGGAGGCCACTTATCTTCACACACAAGCTACCCGGGGGCCTCGGGCACTCAATAAATATTAAGGGCAAAGGGTGACTCAGGCTTTCCCTAGGGAACTGTCGAGGTTTTGTTGAATGAATGGGGCTCATTTGGCCACCCCGGTGTGCTGGACTCAGCCATGTCCACACACCAGTGCCAGACTCCCTTTCCCGGCTTAAGGAGAGGGCGCATACTCGGCTTAGAAACGGATCTCATCCTGATCTGGGGGTGGCAGAGCGGAAGCTGGCTCTGGCGTCCACCGAGGCTTGCAAGGCAGAGGTAAACACATTCACTCCTGAGGTCAGGGCTCGGCAGTTGCCTGGGACCCTGTGGGCAGCGCCTGCTCTCCGGTTTAGAGCCACTTGCTTTCTCTTGCTCGGTGTCCCTCCGTCCATTCGTTCCTCAGGCGAGGAGCCAATTGAGGAGAAAAGGTCAAGAAAAAATTTCAGTCCAAACCCATTCCGCGTGCTCTGTCGCCTGCCTCCCAGACGAATAAATAAATATATAAAACAAAGCTCTGGCAGACAGGCCCGGGGCTGCCAGCGTCGAGGTCGGCTGCCAGCAGGGCTTTTGGCCACTTCTTTCTCTGAGCGGAACGGGAGGGTGGCGGAGGTCTGAAGAAGGGTTTTGGAAAGGTCAAGGGTTTGGGGAGAAAGTGTTCTTCCTGCCCTTGACCAGCAGCAGGTTCTGGGGAAGGGCAGGGCTGGAGGCAGCGCCTTATGCCATGTCATCCTCCATCCTGACCATCTGCCTCTGTCAACAAAACGATAAACACCGGAAATAATCAGTCCAACCTCCAGTAAACATGGCCAGAGGCCACCTGCTCCTCATCACGGGCCGGGACCGGCACAATCACTTCCGCCCTGGTCCCCTGGCCGCTGACCTCTACCCAGTCTGTTTCCCCCATGGCAGCCAGAGGGCGCCTGTGAGCACCCGAGTCAGATTTTGCCCTCACCCTTCCCCAGTCTGTCCTCACACAGCAGCCACCACCAGGGGGTGCTTGTGAGCACCCAAGTCAGGCCATGTCCCTCCTCTTCCCAGAGCTCTCCATTGCTCCTTCCTCCTTTTGAGTAAAGCCCAAGTCCTCCCCAAGGGCCACCAGGTCCTGCTCCATCTGCCAGGCCCCTCATTGCCCTTGTCTCCTCCCTCCTTCCCCCTCTCTCCGCTCCAGCCACAGTGGCTGTGCTGTGGCCATTGGGCTCAAACACACCAGGCTCGGTCCAGCCTCAGGGCCTTTGCACAGGCTGCCCCCTCTGCACACCGTACGCTTCCTGCTTCCTGCTTAAGGAGGCCCGCCCAAACCGCCTCTTCTAAACTCGCCTCCCCTCTCTCCCAGCCCCTGGTGGCTTCCCTCTGTTCGTTGCCATGTCTTGGGGTCTCTCCTTCCCCACCCTCCCTGCTGCCCGGCCGTGCAGACGGCTTTGGGGCTCTCACCGAGGGGTAGGTGTAGCCGTCCTGGCTGGGGCAGATGTGGACCTCGTCCTCCGTGGTCTTCTGGTACACGGGGTTGTCAAAGTTGATGCTGTTGATGTTCTTCAGCCGCCAGTTCTTCCAGAGGAGGAAGGCCCCGAGGCACAGGAGGACGAGCAGCACTACAGGGAGGCAGCCTGGCGTCACTCCCTGCCCTGTGCCCCATGCCCGCCTGGTGCCCCAGGGGCCAGTGAGCTGCCTTCAAACTCCAGCCTTTTATTTATTTTATCTTTTTATTTTATTGATTTTTTACAGAGAGGAGGAGAGAGGGATAGAGAGCTAGAAACATCGATGAGAGAGAAACATCGACCAGCTGCCTCTTGCACACCCCCTACCGAGGATGTGCCTGCAACCAAGGTACATGCCCTTGACCAGAATCGAACCTGGGACCTTTCAGTCCGCAGACCGACGCTCTACCACTGAGCCAAACCGGTTTCGGCAAACTCCAGCCTTTTTATTTGTGAGTGGCTTTGTTCTGATTTAAAGAAATCCTTGCCCATTGTGAAAACCCTATCGGTAAGCATTACCAATCTCTCACTTGAAGACCGCCTCACTCCGGAAATGCTCAACTGTGGTGGATTCTTCCGGTTTCTTCAGGGATTGCCCACGCAGGGGGCTACTCCTCTTTAGACCCAGGGCACAGCCAAGGGCGTGCACAGCCCAGTTTGTGAAACAGCCTGGGCAGTGCCCAGAGGGTGGGAGACGCGTAGGGCAGCACACACTTGGAAGCCACCAGGGGGTGAGGGTCCCACTTGACACGTCTGTCAACCCACAGTCGAATGACTGTTGGGCACCAAAATAAAAGTATCTGTGGGCAGGCTGGATGCTGACGGGACGCCTCAAAAGGATTTCTTCACAAAAGGAAGAACGGGCGACGCTAACCAAACTATGATTGATGGGCTGAGGAAGGGACCGTGGCGCTCTGCAAACTCGCCCCCGCAAGAGAAGCATTCCCGCCCCCCGCCCCGCCCGGTGTCAGCGCCCCCGGGGCCTCGGGCTCATCCCCCATCTGCACATCACGTGGGCACCCATGGGGCGAGGTGTTCATTTCTTTCACAGCTGTGTCCCCAGAAACAGGCTTGGTATATGGGAGGCCCTCACCTAGATTTGTTATGAATGAAGCTAGGAAGGGGAGTGCAGTGATGACAGGACACATGTGGGGACACCCCATTCCTGAGAGAAAAGGCGACTAGCAGGGAGGCCAGGGAACCGGGGGAGGGCCAGCCAGTGGCCAGTGGGCTTACCGATGGGGAGGACGATGTAGAGCGAGCTCACGCCCGGGGCCTTCTCCCCGCTCTTCGGGGCTGCAGGGGGAAAGGGAGACAGTGAGGCTCAGACGCTCAGGCAGGGCATGCAAACAGCAGGGATAGGATGGCTGACACCCAAAGGGAAGCACCTGGCACCTCCCACTGCCCTTAAACATTTAGAGGAACTTGGAGCATCTCCCAGGATCCAAGGGCAGCACGATGGCTTGTGCCCGGGCCTCGGGCCTCGTTTGTTAGCAACTGGAGTTACGGGACTCTGTGGTATTGATATTAACAGGGCTCTGGTGAAAATTTTCAGCCGGGCTCTGCATTTAATGGTAATAAGCCTTTGCTTCACGGGTCCACCAATTCCAGAGTCTGGTTGAATCGCACCAAGTTTCATAGTCCTGTGTCAATTGTCCCCAGCTAATAAAATATATCAGGGTGGGGAAAGACACCTCATTATATAACCACTCACCATGCAATGCACCTGAGCCAGACAACAAGGGGCTCCATGCACACGAGTGGCTCAGTGGTTGAGCATCGAACTATGAACCAGGAGGTCCTCCTGGTCAGGGCACATGCCTGGGAAGTGGGCTCAGTCCCCAGTGGGGGCATCAGTGATTCTCTCTCATCATCGATATTTCTATTTCTCTCTCACTCTACCTTCCTCGCTGAAATCAATAAAAATATAAATTGTAGAGGTCTCTAAAGAGAAAAACAGGCTAGGAAGATAAAAGAAGCCACATCCGGGCTACAGGTAGGCTGGTGAGCTGTAGTTACCACCGTGTTCAAATCCATCTGGGTTTCAACGCTTCTGGCTGTTGGTCATGTGTATACGAAATTGATACCCAGTATTGCATTTGCAAATATTTAAGAAGCCTGTGACAACAATAACCTAGGGCAGCAGCAGGGTTTTTGGGAAGTTTTTCCCTTTCAAAGGATCCTTTGCCAAATTCCTGCCCGTGAAACGGCTTTTCAAACCCCACACGTGAGAAGGGTTCCAGGCATCCCATAAGCACAGCAGCTCCTGTTTTATCTCGTTTATGGCTGAACAAAGGCTTCAGCTACTCTGAGGGGGAAATATGTCTGAAACATGCTGATGTGACTTTTTTTTCTGGCCAGAAAAGTCCATGAGCTCCATTTCCGGTTGCTCAAAAGCTAGGCCGGGCGCCCTCTGGTGGACGAAAACACAAACGGTGGGTCTCTGATCAATTCACTGAGAGCCCAGTTCTAACCTCCTCCACGGAGGTCATGACTTTAGGCCAGGCTAAGGTGAGGAGAGTCACTGGTCTGAAGCACAAAAATTAAAGCTCCCCCAGCCCCAATTCAATAATTCAGCAGTATTTTAGTTTTGTTTGTTTATCCTCACCAGACAATATTTTTTCCACTGCTTTTCAGAGAGTGGAAATAAAGGCTGGGATCCAAAATCCAGGTATTTGCCCTTGACTGGGAATTGAACCTGGGCCCTTTAGTGTGTGGGCTGACAGTCTAACCACTGAGCATGCCGGCCAGGGCAATGTTATTTTTTAAATATATATTTTTATTGATTTCAGAAAGAGGAAGGGAGAGGGAGAGAGAGAAACATCAATGATGAGAGAGGATAATTGATTGCTGCCTCCTGCAGGCCCCCTACTAAGTATTGAGCCTAAAACCTGGGCATGTGAGGGATCCAAGATGGCTGCGACCAGGTGAACACCTAGCTGCAGCCGCACACAACAATTTCAATAAAATACAACTAAAATATAAAACGGACATTGCCCAGAACTACAGGAAGGTTGACTGACTGGAAATTCTACAGCGAGAAGCAAGGAGAAAACCAGAAGGAGGTGCGGAGGAGCTGGAAAAGCCCAAGGTACGGAGACGCGGCTCGCGGAGAGGACGGAGCCGGAGAGGAGGGAGGCCGAGTGCCTGGCGGGCGTTCCCTAGCGGGAAGGAGATAAAACTCCGACTGTGCTGGGCCTGACTGCCCTGATCCCCAGTTCTAGGCCAGACCCCGGGGACTCAGGCTCAGCATAGGGAGCCCGGCTGTAAGGCGGAACCCCGGGGAGAGGCGAAAGGAGGTCTCGGAGGCGCACACTGCGCGCAGAGAAGGGACGGTCGGCTGTGCCGCGGGATCTCCCTGACGGGAAGGAGACTGGGGCTCCAGACTGCTCTGAACGCCACCTCCAACTCCACTTCCAACTGAACTGAACCCCAATACCGGGCTCATTGGGGGAGAGCATAGACTGTTTGGCAGCAGGCGAAAATCGAGGGCACCTTTCTCTCAGAGGCGCCGGCAGCAGCGAGCACTGAAGGACCCGCATAGGGCGGGGCTGACAGAAGCCAAAGCTGCAGGCTCCACCCTGAAACCTCGTCCCATCTGTAACTGCGAAATGCGACAACAAAATAGATCACAAACAAAAGAAATGGAGGACAAAAAGCGTCTGGATATAGAGTTCAAATCTACGCTTATAAGGTTTTTCAAGAATTTCCTAGAAAAGATGGATAAGGCCTATGAGGATATGAAAAGAGATCAACTAGAATTAATAAGGAGTCAACAAGAAATGATAAGGGATCAACAAGAAATAAAGAATACATTGTCTGAAATAAAAAATATTTTACAGAGTCCTAAAAACAGAAGGGAAGATTGCAAGAATCAAGTCAAAGATTTGGAACATAAAGAGCCAGAAGACACTCCTCTACAGAAGCTAGAAGGCAAGAGAATCCAGAAAATTGAAGATAATGTAAGAAACCTCTGGGACAACTTCAAGAGAACCAACATCAGAATTATGGGGGTCCCAGAAGATGAGAGAGAGCAAGATATCGAAAACATACTGAAAGAAATAGTGACAGAAAACTTCCCCCACCTGGTGAAAGAATTAGACTTACAAGTCCAGGAAGCGCACAGAACTCCAAACAAAAGGAATCCAAAGAGGACCACACCGAGACACATCATTATTAAAATTCCAAGAGCAAAAGACAAAGAGAGAATATTAAAAGAAGCAAGAGCAAAGATGGTAGTAACCTATAAAGGAGCACCTATACGATTGTCAGCTGACTTCTCAACAGAAACCATGCAGGCCAGACGGAATGGCAAGAAATATTCAAGGTGATGAATAGCAAGAACCTACAGCCAAAAATAATCTACCCAGCAAAGCTATCACTCAGAATCGAAGGCCAGATAAAGAGCTTCACTAATAAAAAAAAGCTAAAGGAGTTCATCACCGCCAAACCAGAATTATATGAATTGCTGAACGGGGTTCTTTCAGAAGAGAAAGTAAATAAAGATAAAAATTATGAACAACAAATACGTAACTATCAACAAGTAAATCTAAAAACCAAGGAAATTAAAAAAATCTGATGAACAATATTAACTGTTGAATATAATAGAATCAGAGGTATGGAAGGGGAGTGAACTGACGGTTCTTGGGGAAAAGGGGATAGGGGGGCGTGGGAAGAGACTGAACATAAACTGTGCACCTATGGATGAGGACAATGGGAGAGGGGAAAGGGCAGAGGGTGGGGTGGGAACCTGATGGAGGAGAGCAATGGTGGGGGGGGGGAGGAACATTTGTAATAATATGAACAATAAAAACTTATTAAAAAAATAAAATAAAATAAAAGCTGGGCATGTTCCCTGACCAGGAATTGAACCATGATCTCCTGGTTCATAGGTCAATGCTCAACCACTGAGTTACACCAGCTGGGTGATGAATTATTTTTAAAAATAAAAATTAATTCCAATACCCTACGATGAACAAAATACCCAGATTTTTAGGAAGACTGGATCTGACGCTACCCTTGAATGATCCTGCCTTCCTAGGATCCTGGCTCCAATCAAACTTTATTTACAATAGGTGGTTGGCCCCACGGGCTATCGCTTGGCAATTTGATTTTTTAAAACAACAGATTAACATACTGAGTCCTGAGTTTCTTGGTGCCCTTCAGGTGCTGCCTCAAGGAGTACCTTACCTGCCTCACCCTCCTGCTGGCCCTGCTGGGCACACAGCTGAAAGCAGGACAGTGAATGGGCCTGGACAACACTTCACACCCCTGGGCCTGTGCGGTGGGCTCTGGGGTCAGCAGCCACCATGAGCTCAGACTCTTCGCATGAGCTCGCCCATGTGATCCCCACTATTACCACAAGGTGGGTGGGCACTGTTACCAGCCTCTTTTTTTTTTTATTAAATATATTTTATTGATTTTGTACAGAAAGGAAGGGAGAGAGATAGAGAGTTAGAAACATCGATGAGAGAGAGTCATCGATCAGCTGCCTCTTGCACACCTCCTACTGGGGAAATGCCTGTAACCAAGGTATATGCCCTTGACCGGAATCGAACCCGGGACCCTTCAGTCCCCAAGCCGACGCTCTATCCATTGAGCCAAACTGATCTCGGCACCAGCCTCTTTTTTAAGTAGGGACACTGAGGCGTCAGAGATACACAGGCTATGTCAGCAAAGGAGTCCAAACTAACTGCACTCTCTAGGTTATCACTGAGTTGCTCTGGCCCCTGAACGAGCCCACCTGGATGCTCATCGGGATGAGCTGGGACCCAGGGTGGCCCTGGCCTTTACCTTGATGGGTCTTCGTCACCATCTTGGCGGTGGTGAGCTCAGGAGTGGTCACAGTGGAGCGAGTCATGTTGGGTGCCCGGGTGGTCACTACAGGTTCTGTGTTGGAAAGATTAGACATTTCCTGAGTGCCCTGTGGCCGAGGAGCGCTCTGAAAGCTCAGTGCTGCTTACAGTAACACGTGCCTGTGAGTGCCAAGGGCCACAGAGAAATAACTGAAATCAAAAGCAGCAAGAATGCTAGCACGCTGATGTCTGCTTCCGGAGAGGGAGATCACAGTGTTATGGACACTAGCTCCAAACTGAGACTTTCTCTGAGGATGAGAAAAATTGAAAAGGGCAGATTCTATTTCAACAATATACTTTCTATAACTTTGTTGAGAGAAAGAGAGAGAGAGAGAGAGAGAGAGAGAGAGAGAGAGAGAGAGAGAGAGAGAGAGAGAGAAAGTGCGTGCGTCATTGTTCCACTTATTTAGGCACTCATTGGTTGATTCTTGAATGTTTAGGTTTTAAACCCACAAACTTACCATATCCGGATGATGCTCTAACCAACTGAGCTCCCTGGCCAGGCCTCAACAATATACTTTCAACATAAAAACTTTGGGGGTGGGAGGTGGAGGGAATCACACATTCCATACATCCCCCCATGTCACTGGGAGCAGCCCTGTGCACAGGCCCTGCAGTGGAAACAGAACCAGCATGAAACGGAGTCCTGCTGCAACAGCTACCGCGTAAGCCACCTTAGAAGCAGCTATTCCCGCCCCGGGCGAACCTTCACATGACCGCAGCCCTGGCTGGGAGCTTGACTGCAATCGCATGAGAGGTGTGTGCCCTGCATAAGCTTGAATCTAATCTAAGGGTTTTTTCTTTTAAAGTTTCTGGATACAAGGGCAACACAATGAGTGTAATGAAGAAGGACAATATTATGTAAATAAAAGATGATGACCCCGAACTCTGCAGAAAGAAGGAAGAAGAAAAAAGATGGAAAGGAAGTGGCAGTCTCCTCCACGCTGCTCCTTGTGGACAAGAAAGAACATCGGGTACACTGGCACTGGCCTGTGCAGCAGGCACCTGTGAAGTCACAAAAGGCTACGTGAGTGTCGGTTCAAACAAGCGGTTCCTGGAGAACAGAGCCAGCTGCCATGCCCAGAGGCTTGTATCTCGGGCCGCCAGCACTGAGCACAAGCTTGCACTTGAGGAAGAACTTCTGATGCTGCCCCTCTACCCCTCCTTCCTACCCACCTGCACAGACAGATCTGGTCAAGGACTGGAAAGCAACTGTGAGCAAAACGTACCCTGATTTTTCAGTGACAGTTTTTAAACATTTAAATGTCAGATAAAAAAATAATCAAGATATGCAGAAAGAGAGAAATAAGATGAGACAACCAACCACACAATCTCAAAATACTTTCATAGGAACTAAAAGGATAAGCTGAAATGTAGTAAGAACCGGGGTTCCGAACTGAAACGAAGGAACAAAAATATTTATGGCAGTAGCAAAAAGAAACAAGTTTGTTTTGTTTTCTCTTTTAAGGGAAAGCTCAGAATCACATGAAGCTCAGAATCATATGAAAGTCTACAGTGTAGTTGTTTTTTTTTAATTCCTAAATATAAAAGAGATCTCCTCCTCCTCAAAATAACCCAACCTATGAACTTTGGGGGAAATTAAAATATATTAAGCTGGTGGGTAAACTTCCCAACACTGGACTCATAAGGGATGCAAGAGTGGACATACCAAAAGACTTCAGAAAAATACTGGTATTTGAAATTAAATGACCAGTTGTTTTAGCAACATAAATATATATACATAACTGAAAAGAGCCATTGCTCTAAAATCAACCACCTCCCCTATTTAACCAAAGAGCTTGTATGCATATATGCATAACCCTTAGACACAGATAGTAGGGTGGTGAGGGCCTGGGGTGGGGCGTCGGGAGCGTGGGGGCAGCTGGAGGGGGTCGATGGTGAAAAAAAGGTGACATATGTAATACTTTCAGCAATAAATATTTTTTAAAAATGAATAAAAGTGATTAAAAAAAATAAAATAAATAAGATCAGTTACCGCCGAAACTGGTTTGGCTCAATGGATAGAGTGTCGGCTTGGGGACTGAAAAGTCCCAGGTTCGATTCCGGTCAAGGGCATGTACCTTGGTTGCAGGCACATCCCCAGTAGGGGGTGTGCAAGAGGCAGCGGATCAATGACTCTCTCTCATTGGTGTTTCTAACTCTCTATCTCTCTCCCTTCCTCTCTGTAAAAAATCAATAAAATATATTTTAAAAAAAATAAACTGAGTCTAAGTGTCTAGCACAGTGCTGATATGTTCAATCCTTTATAATAAAGAGCAAATATGCAAATGGTCATCACACCCTCACACCATCATGCTTAATGGCTCAGACATAACACTGGGGAGAGAGGAATGAGGACCAGCCAGGCTGCGGCCCAGAAGAGGGACAAGCCGCCAGCCCTGCGATCCCACGTGCCAGTGGTTGGGCCTGTGGCCTGGGAGAGGGACAAGCCACCCAGCCCGCAATCCTGGGCACCTGTGGCTGTGGCTGGCCCAGTTTCTGGATGCCTGAGGCCAGCCAGAGGGAGGGAAGCCCAGGCCCTGGGTACCTATAACTGGCAGGGGGAGGGAACCAGGGGTCCTGTGTGCAGGGTGAGGCAGAGTCAGTTAGAGGTGATCAGGCCAGCAGGGGAGCAGTTAGGAGTGATCAGGCCTGTAGGGGAGCAGTTAGAGGGGATCAGCCAGGCAGGCAGAGATATTTAGGGGCAATCAGGCAGGCAGAGATGGTTAGGAGTGATCTGGAAGGCAGGCAGAGGGGTTAAGTGCAATCAGGCAGGCAGGCAGGCGAGTGGTTAGGAAGGAGGCAGCGGACCCTGATTGAGAGAGGCAGCTGGACATCCCCCCGAGGGGTCCCAGATTGGAGAGAGTGCAGGTTGGGCTAAGGAATGTCCCCCCAATCCCCATGCATGAATTTCTTGCACCCGGCCTCTCTAGTATTTAAGAAAGGCAGACCACCGATACCCCTGCTAACGAGTCCTTACAATGGCCTCTGGGGGCCTTGCTCTCTCATTTGACAGATGGGCAAAGAGAGGCTCAGGCAGAGTCGAGAAGGTGGCAGAAGCAGGACTTGTGCCAGGCAGGCTGGTGTCCCCTACCTGGGCGGCAGCTCCTCCTGTCCTCGGCCAGCAACATGCCATCAGGGCAGGCACAGGTGAACTTGGGTGAGAAGGAATTGATCTGTGGGGCCGGGAGACACAGGTACCGGCAGCCGCCGTAGGAATGGAAAGCTGTCTCACACCAGTTTATCCCTGAGGTGCAAAAGGCAGGGAGTCAGGGCAAGAACAAGGTCAGAAAATTCTAGAAAACTGCAGAGCTCTCTCAGGGAAGTGGGAGAGGTGAGCACCCCGCCTTCACCTTTTGGCTGTGTGAGGCGGTGGGAAAGGACAATGTCCTCCGGAGACAACAGGTTTTCTGCCATCAAAGTAACGTCGGACCCCGTGTGGCGGTTGGCGCTAAAAATGGCTTCGTTGATGATATCCGTCCAAAATACTTTATCCTACACGGGCAGTGAGGAAGAGGACAGACCCCATTAACCACTGGGAAGGGCAGACCACTGTCTTCCCCACCCCGAGCCTCAGAGGGTCTCTGGGAAACAGCACTTCTAGGTGGTAGCATCATTTCTTCTTCTGAAAACAAAGTTTAATTGTGGTAAAACACACAGAACACAAAATATACCATCTTGATCATTTTCTTGGCATTCAATACATTCACTGTGTTGGGCAGTCATCACCACCATCCCCCTCCAGAACGTTCTCATCTTCCCAAATGGAAACTCTGTCTCCATTAAACACTTCTGCAGCCCTAGCTCCCCATCTACTTCCTGCCTCTCTGGATCGGACTCCTTAGGGACCTCCTGCCAGGGAAGCGGTCCAATATTCGTCCTTCTGTGACTGGCTTATTTCACTCAGCAGGATGTCCTCAAGGTGCATCCATAGGGTAGCGCTGTCGCCAATTCCTTCCTTGTTAAGGCTGAATGAGATTCTGCCGTAAGGATGGACCATGTGGGGCTTATCCACTCATCCCAGACAGACACTCGCTGCCTTCACCTCTTGGCTGTTATGAATCAGGGTCTACCAACAGAACACCATTTCTCCTAGACAGAATTCCCCCACGGGGGTGCTACGTGGGGCCAATGGTTCTATGTGGTGGCTCCTCTTGCAGGCTATTTAGCAGCATCCGGGTCTTCACTCACTAGAGGTCCATAGTATAAGGCACAATTGTCAAACACAAGGCCCGCGGGCCAAATCCGTCCCGCCAGGCCTTGCAATGTGGCCCGCACCGCGCTGTCATCACTGCACTCCGCTGCGTTTCCATCACAATGACAGTTTATGACTGTTCAGTAAACCATTCGGCCCGCGATTTAGGCTGGATTTTAGATTTTGGCCCCTTCTCTGATTGAGTTCGACACCCCTAGTAAGGTGACCAGATGTCCTGATTTTTAACAATTTGTCCTGTGTCCTGGGACTGTCCCGCCAAAAAATCGGGACTGTCCGGCCAAAATCGGGACGTCTAGTCACCTTACCATAGCAGCCCTCCCACAAGCTCCGGACATTCCCAAATGCTCTGGGCAGCAAACAGCCTCTGTGTGAGAGCTGCTGCTTCAGACCCTTGAGAATCCTTCTGGCGAGAATAACACAGAAACGACGGTTGAAGAGGTGTAAGCCCTCTTTATAGTGGAGGGCAGTTCCTGAGTTAGTCTTGGCTTGCATGAACTAGACCCTGCCAGCTGACCTGTTGGCATGCGCGCTCACGCTTCACACATGAGTGGCGCTCAGTAAACAGCACTGGGCTGGGCATTCCCTCAAACCCCAGGGGAGCACCCACCTCAAAGATGGCCAAGGAGAAGGGGTGCGCCAGCCTCTTCTTGTCCTCCAAAATTGTCTTCCGGTGCCCCCCGGTGACGTCGATGCTGGAGATGGAGTGGAGCTTGGAGTCGACCCAGTAGAGGCGGTCGCTGGAAAGATCTAGAACCCACAAGTGGACAAGGAGAAGTCATGTGTTGATGCCAGAGGGGCCCCTGGGCCTGGTCACTCTGCTGCAGGAAGAGCCCCCGAAGGACCCAGCAGAGGTGTGCCCGGAAAAGCCGCTCTGACCACACCCCTGCTGGTGAGCCTGACCAAATGCTGGGGTGGGGGGAAGGGTGGAGGCAGTTTAGTCACAGGAGATATACAACTCGGGGAGCTGCGTGGTGTGCAGGGGTGACCTGGCCTCTGTCCTCTCTCATCTAGACTGCTCACCCCCTGAGACCACCATCCCTCGAACATACCCAGGGTGATGCCATTGGGCCACTGGATGTCCTCTGTGACCAGTGAGTGAATGTCCACGCCATTCAGGCCCCCCTTCTTGATCTTGGCAGGGGTCCCCCAATCCGTCCAGTACATGAAGCTGGAGGGAGAACAGAGAGAACAGACACTCAGAACACAGCCAAAATGATGGCTCCCAGAGAACGTTAAAGAGCAGCTTGCAGCCCTAGCCAGTTTGGCTCAGTGGAGAAAGCGTCGGCCTGCAGACCAAGGGTCCCAGGTTTGATTCTGGTCAAGGGCATGTACTGTGGTTGCAGGTTCCTCCCCAGTCAGGGCCCTGGTCTGGGCACGTGCAGGAAGCAACCAACTAATATGTGTCTCTCACATCGGTATTTCTCTCTGTCTTTCCCTCTCTTTCCCCCTCTCTCTAAAAACCAATGAAAAAACATTCTGAAGCGGCCAGGCCAGGGACCCACACAGGCCCTGGGGAGACCTCAGGTTGGTTCCTTCGCCCTACCCCAAGGCCTGCCACCTGGTGAGGCCTGGCGGGATTTTGGAACCTTCAAGAAAAAATGGAGGTTTTAATTGCAATGTCAGGACTGGGGCCAGGGACTTGCACTCTAAACACTACTTTCTGAGGGTGGGTTTTTTTTTTTTTTTTTTTTTTTTAATATTTAATTACTCTAAGTTTCACCACTGTTGTGCATGTTTTTTTTGTTTGTTTTTTATATATTTTTATTGAGTTTATTTACTTCAGACAGGAAGGGAGAGGGAGAGAGAGATAGAAACATCAACAATGAAAAAAGAATCATTCCGCCGAGACCGGTTTGGCTCAATGGATAGAGCGTCGGCTTGGGGACTGAAAGGTCCCGGGTTCGATTCCGGTCAAGGGCATGTACAAGGGTTGCGGGCACATCCCCGGTAGGGGGTGTGCGGGAGGCAGCTGATCTATGATTCTCTCTCATTGATGTTTCTAACTCTGTATCCCTCTCTCTTCCTCTCTGTAAAAAAAAAAAAAAAAAAAAAAAGAATCATTCTCCCTCCTCCCTCCTCCTTTTTCAAAAAAAAAATTAAAAAAAAATCATTGATCGGCTGCCTTCTACATGCCCCACACTGGGGATAGAGCCCGAAATTCAGGCATATGCCCTGACCGGGAATCGAACCTGTGATCTCCAGGTTCATATGCTCAACCACTTAGCCATGCCAGCTGGGCTTTCTGAGGGTTTTACAATTTTTTTTATCTTTTTGCAATTTAAAATTTTTATTTTTTTGCTTTCCCAACACATATGTAGGCATTCCTCAGAGATATTTATGGGTTGGTTCCAGACCACCGCAATATAGCAGTGCTCCTTTGTGAGAGGTAGGATAAAAAAGGGGGATTTAAAATTCTAAGTTCATGTGCTGATTTGAATAGCAGTTAAATAAACCCTGGCCCGTCGGGGGGGCCCAGGCCTGTGGGCCCATCTGACCACAGGGTCTGTCCCATCGCCACGCTCACAGCCAAATGCTCCCTGTCCTCTGATTATGTTTGCCCACCGGGCTGTCAGGGTCTATGACCTCCCCCACGTGGCAGGCCGTGGTGGCAGACGTGGTCGGGCAGGTACAGACCGGCCATGCTTCCCTCCTGCCTGTGGGCCCTAGAGTTGCTGCGTCAGCCACGAGCCCTGTGGACACCTGTCTGGGGCCCCCTAGGGGGTGACCTTCACCCCTGTCACGTCTGCAGCCCACACCCTGTCCATCGATTAACGTCGGGCTGGTGCAAGTTTACTTTTCTCCACTCCTGTCCTGGCACAAAAGACTAAATCAGATTTTTACTTTCCAATTTCAAATAAGTATGAATTCCTAATACCAGGTTGCAGCAGTATTAATTTCTGGTTGTGGATTCTATTCCACAGGCCAGGACTTTTCAGGGTCTGCTTGCACCTCAGGAGGCACAGCAGGCGTCAGAGGGATGGATCCCACGGCCCAGAGGGCAGGTGGGGAAGGGCCCCCTTTCAGCCCCCACCTCAGTTGAGTCTACTTGGGGCACGAGCCTCCCCCCATGAGTCCGAGCTGGTTCTTCCTGCTCTCTGTACCCCTCAGCTTTGGGAACACCCACCCGTGACGGGGATCCACCACAATGGCCCTCGGCTTGGAGCCTTTCTCCTTGAAGAGGGTCTTTCTCTTCACGCCCTTGGTGTCGGCCACGGAGACGGTGCCCAAGATGGAGTCAGTCCAGTAGAGGTTGCCGTGGATCCAGTCCACGGCCAGCCCGTCGGGAGCCTGCAGGTCCTCGTCGATGATGGTGTCATAGGAGGAGCTGGACGCTCTGTGGATCTGGGTGCTGAGGAAGGAGGAGGAGGAAGAGGAGGAGTCAGTGCCCGAGGCCAGGGTTGCTCACTGGGTGGGGTGGGCATGGGCTGAGGCTCACCTGTAGATCTTCCTTTGGGACAGGTCGGACCAGTAGACCCTGTGGCTGCCCACTTCCACGTCCAGGGCGACCACGTTCTTCAGGTTGGGGATGAGGCTGGTGTATTCGCTGCGGTCCAGCGTCATCTTCCTCACCTCGTGGCGGTTGGTGAAGAAGAGGTAGGCGATGGTGTCTGTGGAGCCACGGAGGGCGCTCAGGGGAGTGGAAGGAACCCCAGACCTGTTTCTGGGGCCTGGCTGAACAGGGAGTACGCCCCGGACATGGGGTGCACGCGCCTCCCTCGTGTATCAACAACGAGGTTCTGGCCGAAACCGGTTTAGCTCAGTGGATAGAACGTCGGCCTGCGGACTGAAAGGTCCCAGGTTCGATTCCGGGCAAGGGCATGTACCTTGGCTGCGGGCACATCCCCAGTGGGGGTGGTGCAAAAGGCAGCTGATCGATGATTCTCTCTCATCATGTTTCTGACTATCTCTCTCCCTTCCTCTCTGTAAAAAATCAATAAAATATATTAAAACAAACAAACAAAAAAAACAACAACGAGGTTCTGATGCTCTGACGCGGGGTCTTACAGATGCCGGTGGGACGGCCCCTCCCAGGCCTCGCGGTTCCTAGGCTCAGTCACCCACTCGCCTCAAATGCAAACCAACCAGTCCACACCCACCACCTCCTTCACCTCCTCACACTCCACTGTGCCCTGGCCATGGTCACCCCAGGGCCAGGAACCAACACCAGGGACAGTCCCTGCACCCAGAGCCCACTGAAATCCTTCCAGCTAGCCAGTCCTAAGCCTGGTCACCCAGCCTCACCTGTCCTTCCCGAGGAAACCACGACTAAGGCTCCTGCCCCATTTCCCCGCTCCCTCTGCTTCCTGACCACCCTGGTGCCTCCCCACGGGGCCCTGTCTGGTGCGGTGCGTCTCCTCCTCTGGGGTCTGTGAGAAACAAACTAGCTTTCCAGGGGCAGCCATCTCCCCATCCGTTGGCCTCACCACAGGTGCCTAACAGTGAAAGCTACGTTTTAAACACCTGGGCCCCAGCACTCTACATTTTAGAACAGGAAGATGAAGAAATGAGAGTTAATTTGTACAGAGCGACTGCTTAGAGCAGGGAATTCTTTTTAGTGTTTTTCTTACTTAAGCTTTCCCTCACTGATTCTCACATTCCTATAAGGCAGGTGCTGTTGTCAACCCTTTTTACAGATAAAGAGGCTGAGGCCCAGAGAGGGAAAGGGACTTGCCTCAGGTCACGCAGCTAGTGAGCGACAGAGCCAGGATTTGAACCTGGGTCTCTCTGACTCTGGGGGCTGTGCTGTAACCATGACACTGATATGCTCCAACAAACTGACCACTTCTACAACTGACCTCATTCAGAATATCCCCGCCCCTGGGGTGGCATCCGTACAGATACTGACACTACACGTTGGAAGGAAAGTAAAATCTCAAATCCTAGAGGATTCCAGGAATTCACCCTCCAATTTTCTCCAGAACCGGGACGTGCATGGGGATGTGACAGAGGGAGGACAGAAGGTTGTCTAAAAGGCTGACAACAGTGGAGAAGGGATGTTCTTGGGGAAACAGAACAAGCTCTAAAACATTTCTGCAAAACTGACCCTTGCTGGAATCACACTGTAAGAGCAGAATGTGAGGCAAAACAAAGAATGTCTGGGCGACCTCCTGGCTGATAAATCTGCCAGAGCAATTATGCCTCCAAAAACATGGGCACCCTTGATTTAGGCGATTCTAATGATTAGTGCACGCTTGCTGTTTTCTAACCTAAAGTTCAGGTAGGAAATAAAACTCAACTATATCTACTATTCTGTTTCATTATGAGCTATTATATTTTGGTCTCTTTTAAATGTATTTGTTTTTGTTTTGTGTGTGTTTTTTGTGTGCAAGTACCGTTAGCTAATAAGAGCTGGAGGGGGTGCAGGCTGTTTGGGGCCATGGCTTTCCACCTCTTGCCCTCTGAAGTCTCTGGTGGGGTCTGTGAGCTGAAAAACCCCAGGGGTTGACCTGTGTCTGCTGAGAAGCCGGACACGTGATTCTGAGACCAACTGCACGTGCTCCGTTACCTGCCAGAGGTCCCGGGAGCGGACAGCCTGTCCACAGTTCAGATGGTGTAACGTTCAGATGATGCAACTCCCCACCTGTTTGCCTTTGGAGCGGCCAGGCCAGGCCCCTCGGGCACCTGGGGGCACTCACCCACAGCCTTGCAGCCCTTGGTGACCGGGTCCAGCCGGAAGCCCTCTTCACACTTGCACTGGTAGCTGCCCACTGAGTTCACACAGAGCTGGCTGCAGGCGTCGGGGTCCTCACACTCGTCGATATCTATGAGTTGGGACAGAGAAAGGTTTGGGCATCTTCCCCGCTGATAGAAGGATGGGCCCCAACACAAAGCTATGCCCTATAATGGTAACTGGGGGACAGCATCTCCTCTGGGGAAGATCTCCAGGGCTGGCGTCTCAGTAACTATGAGGTTCAGAAATAAAATTTTAAAAACAGCAAAGAATCGTCTCTAATGCCCTGGCCAGTGAGCAGGGTGGTTAGAGCATCGGCCTTCACACCGAAGGATAGTGGGTTCGAGTCCTGGTCAAAGGCATATGCCTGAGGCTAGAACCTGCAACCTTGGCATTTGGGTCCGATGATCAAAGCTACCCAGAACAAAACCACTGTGCCCAACATGTAATGGATACTTAATAAATGGATATTGAGTGAATAAATGAAAATGAAAAAAAAAAAAAAAGCTACCCAGCCTGAGTCCTTTTTAAAATGATGAATCCCAAAGCAAGGACCACGTGTGCCAAATGGCTAAGCCTATCCTAGACTCCACATGCCTATGGCATTGTGTTAAATCCTCCTAACAGCCCTGTGAGTGGAGACGGCCCACAAACGCAGATGGGGAAACCAAGGCACAGAGGGCTTGGCCACCGTATCAGAGGGAATCACCTCCCAGCTGAGGAATCACCTTCGCATCTTCGCTGGTCCACCAGCCGGAACCCCTCAGGGCACAAGCACTCGTAGCCAATCTTGAGGTCTTTGCAGAGGTGGGAGCAGCCACCCTTGTTGGTCAGGCACTCATTGGTCTCTGCAGCGAGCGGGGGACAGATGGTCACACTCAGGCTCCGGCCACCCTTCCCAGCCACCCTCTCTATTTTGCTATCTTCATCACAATCACCACAATGAGTGTGAGGCCAGTGAAGTGCCACGATCCTAAGAAGGACGTAAAGTACCACTGTCAAATGCAATGTCAAAGATGGGCCTGGAGGACACTGTGCTGAGTGACATAAGCCACGCACAAAAGGACAAATCCTGTGTGATCCCGCCTATATAAGGTTCTTAGACAAAGAGTAGAATGGTGGGTGCCATGGGGAGGGGGGCGGTTTGAGTTTGGGAACAGTTTCAGTTTGGGAAGATGAGAAAGTCTGGGAGATAAACAGTGGTGATGGCTGCACAACAATGTGAATCTGCTTAATGATACTGATTTGCACACTTAACAATGGCTATGAGAGCCTGGCTGGTGTGGCTCAGTGGTTGAGCATCAACCCATGAACTAAGAGGTCACTGTATGATTCCTAGTCAGGGTACATGCCAGGGTTGTGGGCTCAATCCCCAGTAGGGGCATGCAGGAGACAGGCAATCAATGATTCTCATCATTGATATTTCTATCTCCCTCTCACTTCCTCTCTCTAAAATCAATAAAAACATATTTTTAAATGGTTATGATAAATCTTATTGCTTTCTTCAACCACAATTAAAAAAAAATTTATTGATAAAAACTGTAAATCACACACTACAGTTACATATAGAAGTGGGCAAAGTAGGTTTACAGTTGTTTGTATGGAAAATGATACAATAATTTAATAAATAATACAAGAATTCATGAACTCACAACTGTAAACCTACTTTTGCCAACCCCCTGTATATTAACTTATTTAATCCACCCAACAACCCTAAAGATATCTGGGGAAACTGAGGCACATCCAAGATCACACTGCTGGGCTCAAACCTAGGGCCTGTGCCTCCAGAATTCATCCGCTAACTCTTTACAACCAAGCCTGCCTCCCACCTGTTCTTAAACAGGCCAGCAGTTAAGAACGATTCTACATTTTTAAGTAGATAAAAGGAAAAATAAGAATTGGTGTGGTCTCCATCCCTCCCTCTTCCTCAACAGGTATGCACCTCCTAATCGCTAAGGGTCCTCACGAGACTTGTTCCCAGGGGAGCAGTGGGCAGTGGCAGCTCATTGGGGCGACCCTCTGAGCCTGTCTTCAAGCCCCCTTTTCTCTGACTTTTCGTGAGCTAAGCTAGCCCTGCCTAGGCTCACGTCTTTCCTATAACATTTCTAGAGGTACAGCAGCCCCCCTCCGCGCTCTCCTGTGCCTTCTTCTATTCTAAATCCTTCCTTGTTTCCCTGTCCCCGGTGCAGAGATCCAATTGCTTCTCGGCCTTTAGGCTAAGGTCAAGTGCAATGTTAATAAATGTACTCTCAAAAATTAATCAAAATAGCCCTGGCTGGTTTGGCTCAGAGAATAGAGCTTCGGATTATAGACTGAAAGGTCTCTCATTCGATTCCAGTGAAGAGCATGCCGGGTTGTGGGCTCGATCCCCAGTGGGGGGCATGCAAGAGGCAGCCAATCAGTGATTCTCTCTCATCATTGCTGTTTCTATCTCTCACTCCCTCTCCCTCTGAAATCAATAAACATATATATTTTTTTAAATCATCAAAATAAAAATATTTCACACCACATAAAAGGTCTATGAAATTCAAATTTCTGTGTCCATAATAAAGTTTTCTTAGAACTTAGCCACACACATTCATATGTGTACAAATGCATTCATATGACTGCTTTTCTGCTAGAATGGCCTAGTTGTCTAGTTGCAAAAGAGACTATAGGACTGGAAACATCCAAACATTTACACAGCTATGGGACATTGCTAGAATTTTACAAGTACCCCATCGGCAATCCCCAGCAGTCCAAGGATGTGTGAACAACTATGGTCCCATCCTACAGCTGTGAAAACTGAGACTTGGAGCAAAGCCACTTATCCCAAGACCCCCACATCTCTCTGGCCCCAGAGCCAAAGCCCTTGGGGGCATGGGTGGGCTGAGCCCTGCAGCCCCACAGCGCCCGTGTCGGGGTCCCGCTTCCAGTTCCCCACGAGCTCCGAGAGCTTCCTGCCCGCCGAGACTCACCACACTCCTTGAGGGGCTCATCTGACCAGTCCCGGCAGTCCCGGGCTGAGTTGCACACTTTGTCCATGGTGATGCATTCGCCACTGTGGCACTTGAACTTGTTGGGGCCCTCGCACAGAGTCACTATGAGAGCCAAAGAAGAGGGTCAGTGCTCTGAGCTGCTTTTTAATAATATAACAATTTGTACAAGATTTTATGCAAACGTATTCACTAATAAAATGTACTAACTATTGAACACTCGTAAACCCAGTTTAAGAATTAAAATGTTGCCCTAGAGACGGTTTGGCTCTGTGGATAGAGCATTGGCCTTCAAACTGAAAGGTCCCAGGTTTGATTTCGGTCAAAGGCACATGCCCAGGTTGTGGGCTCAATCTCCAGTGGGGGACTTGCAGGAGGCAGCCAATCCATGATTCTCTCTCATCATGGATGTTTCTCTCTCTCTCCCCCTTCTTTGCTCTCTGAAATCAATAAAAATATATTTAAAGAAAGAAAGAAAAAAAGAATTAGAATGTTACCAAGAGCAGGATTGGGCAAACTAGGAAACAAACCGGGGACCCTTCAGTCCACAGGCTGACGCTCTATCCATTGAGCCAAACCAGCTAGGGCTGGGCTAAAACTTTTCATCTATATATATAAAAGGCTAAGTGACTAACTGTACATTTCTCCATTCATTCGACCAGCCGGTACATATGACACGCACTGGCAATTTAAAAATAAACATTGACTTGCACATACGCGATACATATAAAGCTCTGGTTTGACTTGGGTCAAGGGCATATGCCTGGATTATGAGCTTGATCCAATCAATGATTGGAAGCAGCCAATCAATGATTTTGTCTCATCATTGATGTTTCTCTCTCCCTCTCCCTTCTTCCCTAAAATCAATAAAATATATATTTTTTAAATGATTAAAATGGTAAATTTTATATTGTAGGTACCTTACCACAATTTTTAAAAAGGTAGTGCATTATCAAATTTCACTTTTAAAAAATATATATTTTATTGATTTTTTACAGAGAGGAAGGGAGAGAGATAGAGAGCCAGAAACATCGATGAGAGAGAAACATCAACCAGCCGCTTCCGCACACCCCCCACCGCTTTTTAATAATATAACAATTTGTACAATTGTTATATTACCCGCAACCAACGTACATGCCCCTGACCGGAATCGAACCTGGGACCTTTCAGTCCGCAGACCGACGCTCTACCACTGAGCCAAACCAGCTTCGGCAAATTTCACTCTTATTCACGAAATTGTTTCAGTCTCTAAATAACATTATATATATATATATATATATATATATATATATATATATATATATATATATGTGTGTGTGTGTGTGTGTGTGTGTGTGTGTGTGTGTGTGTATATATATATATATATATATATATATATATTTTTTTTTTTTTTTTTTTTTTTTTTAATCTTCTAGCCCGGAAACGAATCTGCAACCCAGGCCACATGCCCTTGACAGGGAACTGAACCTGAGACTCTTTGGTATGTGAGCTACACTCTAACCATTGAACACACTGGCCAGGGCCATAAGAAACGTGTAAAAAGTAGTATCCTGGCCCCGGCTGAGTAGTTTAGTTGATATTAGAGCATCATCCAGATATGCATGGTATCATGTTCCATCCCTTGTCAGGGCACATACAAGAAACAACTAATGAATGTGTGTAAGTGGAACAACAAATCGATGTTTCTCTCTCCCTCCTCCTCCCTTTCTCTCTCTCTCCCTCTTTAAAAATCAATCAAATAAACATTATTTTTTTTAAAAGCAATATCCTTATGTTATTTGTATTTTACCGCAATTAAAAGTTTAAATTAATTCTATTGCTGATGAACATTTGGGCTGCTTCCAAGGTTTTGCTCTCAGCACAGTGCTTCTCTGGACCTTCCAGAGCCAGGCTCCTAGTGTATGGGGACAAGTTTCTCCTGGAGTCATTCCCAGGAGTGGAATTGCTGTGTTTAAATTCAGGTAAGTCTTTTACATGGAATTGAATTTCGTATATAAATCTGAGCTCTAAGATACGGGCTTTGTACACTCTGACCGCATTAAATCTCAGTCCTGAAGTAGGTGCTTTCGTTATGCAGATTTTTTCAGAGAGGGGACAAGTAACTTGCCGAAGGACACACAGCTATTGGGGGGCTGACCTGGGAGCCCCTGCCCTGCTCTGGGATCCACCCTGCTGGTACCCCCGTATTCTGCCATGGTTTAGGGTGTCAAGGCGCAGAGCTCACCATTGATGCAGCCAAGCTCATCACTCATGTCCTTGCAGTCATGCTCCCTGTCACACTGCTGGCTGCCATGGATGCAGGTCCCATCGAAGCACCGGAACTCGTCAGGCCGGCATGTGGCCACAGCTAGGAAAGACAGAGCACGTGCTGATTCTTCTCAGGGAGAGGGAAGACGGAAGAATCCCCATCTTTGAAGAAGCAATTTTCCGACAGCCTTACAGGAGTATAATGCAGTTGTTCAAATAACTGAGACTACAAATATATGGAATATTGATGACATGAAACCATGTGATAAAAGACATTACAATTAAAACTCAGAGGATGTCTATGGTGATGGAATAGGGTACTGCCAACCATGGTCCAGCCCTTGACTTCACACAGGATTTGCTTTGTGCTAAGTCGTTAGGCTGTATGTTCTTTTATGCACTTTCCTTTGGGCTGTATTTCACAATTAAAATGTATACAATTTAAAAATTTGATTTCAGGATGTGAGTGAGAAGAGATACTAAATCTGTGAGCAGAATGAACTCTTTCCACCTTTAAAATAATAATTCAAATTTTTGGCACTCTGTATGTACAAGTGGACACTTGGTCAGCTGTGATATGTAAAAAGGGGAATGATCCTATTTTTAATCCATAGGTAATATCCTCACATCAAGGAAAAAACCAGTAACAACCAAAGGTAACCTTAGTGAAGCCTAAACTCTGATGACAATTCAAATGATAGGAGGATGGGATTTTTCGTTTCCTCAAGTATGTGTCCTCAGAAAATAATTTGGCCTTTCTGTGCCTCGGTTTTCCCATCTGTAAAGAGTGGGGGGAGCCTGTTTACAAGTGATGAGGATTAAATGAGTTTGTGTTAAGTTTTCGAACAGACCACCTACAACATCGTGCATTGTTTTTAAAACTTGACTTTGAGGTCCAATTACATTTTATCTGCTCTATGGAAACTGACACAGAAAAAGGGAAATTCCTACTGGATTCACCACATCGCCAGCCTCGAAATAGCCGCCTGTGGGTTCAAGGAGCACGGACACAGGGCCAGAGCCCTTATCTGCACTGTCTCCAACACAGGAATTCTGTTCTCCAGTTGCACTGTCCACGTTGGCTAGCGGCTACTGTACTGGGCAGTGCAGACACAGGAAGCCTCCACCTTCACAGAAAGTCCTATTGGGTGGCCATGACTCTAATCCCGGCCCGCCAAGGCCAACGCTATTGCCCCATTGGACAGGGGAGGACACCACAGCGCAGTGAGGTGGTGTCCTGGGCCAAGGGTCACACAGCTCCACTCCCCCAGCCAGGCCTGGAGCCCCGGATTCTTTCTGAACCAAAGTAATACTGCAGCTCTGGCTTACTCCCCTCTCAAAAAAGAGATTCATTAAACAGGCAAGTGATTTGAAATCGTTTAACCACTCAGAAGCACGGGGACCGGGCGGGGAGGGCGCCCTCACCGCAGTGCTCCTCGTCCGACTTGTCCTTGCAGTCAGGGCTGCCGTCGCAGCGCCAGCTCCGGTGGACACACTCGCCGCTGCGGCAGAGGAACTCGCTGGCCAAGCAGGGGTTGTCCCCGTGCTTGGCTGACGTGTTGCGGCCCCCGCAGTTCCGCGGCCACTCGTCTGAGCCATCATCGCAGTCAGGGTCGCCGTCGCAGGCCCACAGCTCGGGGATGCAGGAGGAGCTGTTGCACTGGAAGCTGGCGGGGCCGCAGGTGGGCGGGGGGCAGGACTCCTCGTCCGAGCCGTCCAGGCAGTCTCGGTCCGAGTCGCAGATGAACTCTGAGGCGATGCACTTGCCGTCACGGCAGCGGAACTCGTCTGGGGAACAGGTCTTGGGAGCTGTGGGGACGGATGGGAGATGAAGACCCGGTCACCGGGAGCCCCCGCCTCCCAACACAAGCCCATTCCACAGATGGAGGCACTGAGAGAAGAGAGGCCAGACCCCAGTTCCGTGGCCCCTGGAGAGGCGGGAGATAGCAGTCAGGGGTCCTAGGCTGGTCCCGATGCTCCCCCTCCCTATTCCTGGCCCCCTCCTGCCTCAGGGATTTATTATCAGGACTGGTAAGTACAGCTTTCAGGTTGGGCTGGCTCAAAGAAGTACTGATTAAGGGTTTGCTATTATTATTATTAAAAGAGACACGCCCCCCCAAAAAAAAAGCTGAATTATAGGACTTGACAGAAATGTGAAGTAACCCTTCTGTGGTAATCATTTCACAATATAAGCATCTCTCCGTATCTTAGAGGGATTGGTTCCAGAAACCCTACAGATACCAAAATCCAAGAATGCTCAATCAAGTCCCTTATATATTTGTATTTGCTTAAAACCCATATTTGCATATAAATTGTATTTGTATATAGGCCACTGCAGGTTATGCCTCCCTACACATCACTTTGGGAAGGAAAATTTAAAAAGAGTGTCTTATCCATTTTATTTTAAAATGTTCCCCAAGAAGTCATTTCATTAGATGACTACTAATGAAGGTTATTTATTTGTATATATAGTTGTGTATTTCTAAGGTAAATGTAAGTAAACACATTTTTAAAAAAATCTCTTAAGGCCCAGGCTGGTATGGCTCTATTGGTTGAGCATCATCCTGCATCGAAAGATTGCAGGTTCAGTTCCAGTCAGGGCACATGCCTGCGTTTCAGGCTCAATCCCTGGTTGGGGATGTGCAGCAGGCAGCCTAGCCATGCAAGACTTTTCTTTTTAAAAAAAAAAAAATTTTTTTTAATTTCAGAGGAAGGGAGAGGGAGAGAGAGAAACATCAATAAAGACAGAATCATCACCAGCTGCTTCCTGCACACCCCCTACTGGGGACTGCCCAGGCAGTTCTTGACCAGAATTGAACCCAGGACCCTTCAGTCCATAGACTGATGGTCTTTCCACTGAGCCAAGCTGGCTAGGGCCATGCTTCTTTTTCACATTGATGTTTCTGTTCTTCTCTCTTCTCTCTCTCTCAAAATCCATTTAAAAATCTCTTAAGGACTTTTATATTTTGTGAATTTGAAGAGTTAATATGATCTTAGTTATTTTTTTCTGATATTTTGGTTTTGGAAAAAAATTTACACAAGTGAAAAAATAATAATAATCCTATCTAATAAAAGGGTAATATGCAAATCAACTATCACTGTCACGAAGATGGCAGTGCCCAATTCTCTCAGCCCTGCTGGAGTCCCCCAATCCTGGGAGGGTGGCCGCTGAGAGCAGGCAGCATGAGCAGCCTGGCAGAATGGTTGCTTTGTCGCTGCAGCAACAAGACAAGTGTTCCACCCTGGCCGCAGAGTGCCTCTGCGCACGGGTGCGAAACAGCCAGGCTCCGTTGAAAGCTACTGGTGCACGGATTCGTGTGCAGGGTGATTAGTAATACACAAGAGCCAAGGCAGACACCCAGCTCCAAAGGGAACTCCCCTCCAGGACTCGGTCTTGTTTCTTTGAAGAAGTCGGCTTCTTTGGCGAAGCTTTCCTCCTCTTAGTGGTTAGTTGGATGAGTGAGTCTTGGTAGTTGAATACCTCCTGGGGTGGCTGACAGTGGTCATAGCGGCTCACTGACGGAAGCATATGCCATGTGGCAAGGACAACCTCACGGAGTGTGCTGATCACCCTAAGAGGGCGCCATCACTATTTGCCGCAACACCTTCTAGCCAAGACGGGCCTCAATGGGAGGGAGGGGGCTGGGATGTGCTCCCAGGAGGTGGAGCTGAGTGAAGAGCGGCCAATCCACACTAGGCAGGGCTGCTTGGGGAACAAGTTCTGATAGCAGCCAGAACCCATCGGACCACATGGACATTCCGGCATGTGGGCTGCCGTGAGGGGCCACACTTACAGCAGCCTTGCTCGTCCGAGCCATTCTCGCAGTCTACCTGGCCGTCACATCTCCAGAATTCAGGAATACAACGGTTGATACGACCCCCACAGCTGAAGTCCTCCATGTTACAGGTGACAGACTCTGTGGGAGAAACAGGATTGAGTCTTAAAGAAAAGGCCAGTCTGCTTTCCCAGTCCTTGCCGTGCAAGGAAGAACCCAGTTTTTGTGTGTATTTTCTTAAATTAAATCTTTATTGTTGAAAATATTACATATGTCCCCATTCCCCACCCCACCCCAATTGACTCCTTCTAGCCCACTCCCACCCCACGGCCTTCACTACCCTATTGTCTGTGTCCACAGGTTATGCATATATGCATACAAGTTCTTTGGTTGAGCTTTTCCCACTCACCCACTCTCCCCTACCTTCCCACTGAGATTCTGTACTCTGTTCCATGCTTCTATGTCTCTGGATCTATTTTAGAACCCAGAATTTTCAGGAAAAAGGTGCCAATCCCACCTTTCTGGGTCAAACTTTAATGGAGCTTGTTAAAAATCAGATGCTAGGTCTTGGGATGAGATAGAGGTGGTGGTTGCACAGCTTTGCAAATGCATTAATGCTAGTGAACTGGTCACTTTAAAATGGTTAATTTGTTTGTGTGAATTTCCCCTCAAAATAATTTTTTTTTAAAGAGCTGTTCAAGGGATGTTCTAGTAATATCTTTGCTCCCCACCTCCCAATTCATGGTTGAATATATCAATGTAATGGGCAAAATCCACCTCATCTGTCCCTTGCTATCATCAAAAAGGGTTGGGGCTCCTGCAGGTGTGCTCAGTGGTTGAGTGTTGACCTATGAACCAGGAGGATATGATTCAATTCCCAGTCAGGGTATATGCCTGGGTTGCAGGCTCAATTTCTAGTGTGGGGCATGCAGGAGGCAGCCAATCAATGATTCTCTCTCATCATTGATGTTTCTGTCTCTCTTTCCCTCTTCCTTCCTCTCTGAAATCAATATACACAGAGTGGCCAGATTTTATATATATATATATATATATTAGAGGCCTGCTGCATGAATTTGTGCATGGGTGGGGTCTGGCCAGGTTGGCCAGAGGGAGGGGAAATAGGTAGTTGGCCAGCCTGCCTGCTGGTCGAGGGGACAATTTGCATATTAGCATTTTATTATATAGGATATACACTGAGTGGCCAGATTATTATGTGTTCAGAGATCATAATAATCTGGCCACTCAGTGTACAGAGGCTCGGTGCATAAAATTCATGTGTGGGGGGGGGGGAGGTCCCTCAGTCTGACCTGCACCCTCTCCAACCTGGGACCGCTGGCTCCTAACTGCTCGCCTGCCTGCCTGCCTGCCTGCCTGATCGCCCCTAACTACTCCCAAGCCAGCCTGATCACCCCTAACCGCCTCTGCCTCAGTCCCTGACCCCGGGACCCAGGCTTCCCTCCCTCTGGCCAGCTGCAAGTACCTGAGACTGGGGGTGGCTTCACCTGGGCCAGCCACAGCCACAGGTCCCAGGGACCATGGGCAGCTTCACCCGGGGCCAGCTTTGTGAGGAAGGATGTCCAGAAGGTCATCCAGAAGACATCTGGTCTAATTAGCATATTATCTTTTTATTAGTGTGTGTGTGTGTGTGTGTGTGTGTGTGTGTGTGTATGTATTTTTTAATTGTTGGGATGGGTATAATATCCAAAGGGAACTTACTACATGTCTCCTGGGATTCATCAGACTGGTCCTGGCACTCGGCACTCCCGTCACAAACCCACTTGTAGGCGATGCATTTCCCATCTTCGCATTGGAACTCGTTTCTCCCACAATTGCCTTCCACTAAGAGAGAAAAGAGGAAGAAATATTCAATGCCAGGATCAGAAACTGACCATATTACCTATGTCTGTTTCCTGCCAACTAAAGAACAAACCAGAAATATAACCCTATCATAACAGTCTGGTTCCAAGAAATAAAACATGTATAAATGAAACAAGTTAAATTTCATGAGCCAAAAAATATAGCGGGGATGCAAAAAAACACAACCAAAAGTGAGACTTGTCAACAAAGTTTAAGAGTTTGACATAATGCTTTGTTGAGTCCAAAGTACAAATTCACTGGGATCTGGGGATAAAATATTAGAATTTTCATGCACATTTATAAAGAAAATTATTTAGCATATTATAAGCCTGTATTGGAAACAATAATGACAAAAATTGACACTGCAAACTTATTAAAACTTGTGTTTTCTCCAGCAGGTAGAATAGAAATGGAAAGAAAAATTATGATAAATTAATGTGGAAGCCAGAGAGCAGAAATTCAGCAACAAAGGTAATCAAATATCTCAACATGAGATCAAAAGAAATGGAACAGAAACAGTAGCTTTATGTGTAATAAGAGAAAATTTTCCTAGAGAAAGACTTGGGCCCTGGCCAGGCAGCTCAGTTGATTAGAACAGTGTCCTGATATGCCAAGGCTGCAGATTTGATCCCAGGTCAGAGCACATATAAGAAGTAACCAATGAATGCATAAATAAGTGGAATAGGGTGTCTGTCGGTCTCTCTCTCTCTCTCTCAAAATCAATTAAAAAAAAAAAAAAACACTCGAATTTTTAGATAAAAATGAAGACAAAGTAAGTGTCTGGGAAATTTCCTAAAATACATGATTTTTGCACCTTGGAAAAGAGATAAAAATTATATTGATTGTGCCCTGGCCAGCACTGCTAAGTGGTTAGAGCATCAGCCTGCACCCCCAAGGGTCTCAGGTTCAACTCCCTGTCAAAGGCAGGTACCTGGATTTAAAGTTTGATCCTGGTCTTAGTCAGGGTTCGTGTGGGAAGCAACCAATCAATGTTACTCCCCCCCCCCGCCCCCACTGCTCCTTCCTTTCCACACTCTTTAAAAATCAATGGAAAAAATATCCTCGGGTAAGGATTAAAAAAATATATATATATATATTGACTCCACTTCCTTTTTTTTTTTTTACTGCATTTCCTTTTGAATATTATACTTTAAATATATTTTTTTAAATTTATTTTTACAGAGAGGAAGGGAGAAGAATAGAGAGTTAGAAACATTGATGAGAAAGAAACATCGATCAGCTGCCCACTGGAGATATGCCCACAACCAAGGTATATGCCACTGATTGGAATCAAACTTGATTCCAAACTTGACCCCTCAGTCTGCAGGATGACGCTCTATCCACTAAGCCAAATCAGTCAGGGCTTGAATAGTATACTTTAAATTAGAATGCGCTGCTTAGTATAAACTGGAATCAAAGCCAACTTTTTTGGTTGTCGATTACCTGATAATAATAATCTTTTAAGCTCAAAGTATAAACTTTGATTTCCTATGTAAACTGAAACAATGAGGCCAATACAAATTCTGACCTGGCTTATCTTAGCATGCTTTATATTGAATAAATAAGGAATAAGAGAAAAACAATAAAAGCGGCTAGGAGTTTCCTCATGAGTCAGATGTTCTGTAGGCAAATAGAATATAAAATATGAATTTTGATTGATGTCTATATTACTTATATGTCTCATTATCCTTGTAAGAAGACTTTTCCTTTTATCAATTGATTTTGAGCACTAGCTATAACTAAAAGAATTGTTTAATGGTTTGTGCAAAATATAGTCATTAGCTCATTTTGCACAAAGATAATTTATACTGGTACATGCATCAAACTTGAAGCAAACTTCACATCTACAGAAAGCTATTCCGTTCTTGGGAGAAACTCAGACCAAAATAAATGGAGAGAGCAAATTCTTTTTTTTTTTTTTTTTTTAATATATTTTATTGATTTTACACAGAGAGGAAGGGAGAGAGATAGAGAGCCAGAAACATCAATGAGAGAGAGTCATCAATCAGCTGCCTCCTGCACACCCCCTTCTGGGGATATGCCCGCAACCAAGGTACATGCCCTTGACCAGAATCGAACCCGGGACCCTGCAGTCCCCAAGCCGACGCTCTATCCATTGAGCCAAACCGGTCCCGGCAGAGAGAGCAAATTCTTGAATGATTCAGCCTGCCCCTGAGAGCAGCCTTTCCTTCTTCATTATGGGCGTGGAAGAGGAAGGATCAAGATCTTGGTCCTGGCCCAGTAGCTCAGTTGCTTAAGCATCATCCCATGTCGCCAGCTGGATTCCCAGTCAGGACACATGCCCAGCAGGGGGCGTGCAGAAGGCAGACTGATGTTTCTCCCTCTCTCTACTTCTCTTTCTAAAAAAATCAATACACTCCCCCCCCCTCCTTTTTTAAGGGACAAATAGTTAATAAACTTATTGACACACATGACTTACTGAACATTACTTGTGTCTGACTTATTTTGTTCAAGAGTATGTACTCTGCATTTATGTGAAGTTCTAGTTCAGGCAAAACTAATCTAAATTAGAATTCAAATTAGCCGTTGCCTCTGGTGTGTGGGAGCAGTAATTAAATTGCAAAAAGGGGCAGAAGAAAACTCTTTGAAGGGCTAGAAATAATCTATATGCAAATGGGAGGTGAATACATAGAAATAGATGTTTATAAAAACTCACTGGCCCGCCAGCATGGCTCAGTAGTTGAGCATTGACCTATGATACAGGGAGGTCACAATTCATTTCCTAGTGGGGTATATACCCACTTGCTGGCTCAATCCCCAGTAGGAGGTGTGCAAGAGGCAGCTGATAAATGAATGATTCTCTCTCATCATTGATGTTTTTATATCTCTCTCCCTCTCCTTTCCTCTCTGAAATCAATAAAAATATATTTAAAACACACACACTTGGTCCTGGCCAGTGTGGCTCAATTGGTTGAGTGTCCTCCCATGCACTGAAAGATCGTGTACGAGAGGCAATTGATCAATGTTTCTCTCTCACATTGATGTCTCTCTCTCTCCCTCTCCCTCTCCCTCTTCCTCTACCTTTCTCTCTCTCTCTCTCTCTCTCTCTCTCTCTCTCTCTCTCTCTCTCTCTCTCTCTCAAAATTTAATTAGCCTGGCTGGTTTGGCTCACTGATTGAGCATGGACTCAGGAACCAAGAGGTCTCCAGATTGATTTCCAGTCAGGGTTGCAGGCTTGATCTCCAATAGGGGCATGGAGGAGGCAGCCAATCAATGTTTCCATTTCTCTTTCCCTCTCCCTTCTTCTATCTCTAAGGTCGATAAAAGTATATATATATATATATTTTAATATATTTTATTGATTTTTTAGAGAGGAAGAAAGAGGGATAGAGAGTTAGAAACATCGATTGGAGAGAATCATCGATCAGCTGCCCCCTGCATACCCCCTACTGGGGATATGCCCCCAACCAAGGTACATGCCCTTGACCAGAATCGAACCTGGGACCCTTCAGTCCTCAGACCAACGCTCTATCCACTGAGCCAAACCGGTTTCAGCGATAAAAGTATATATTTTTTTAAAAGATAAAAATTCAATTTAAAAAACCTCACTGAACTTTTGCTTACTTCCTAACTATCCATTTTATAGTATGTTTATTATATCTAAATTAAAAAAAACAACAACACACTCTGGGGCTTCAAAATTCAATCCCAATGCTCCTGCCAAAGATTAGGAAACCAGTCAGGTGAGATTAGGAGAGATATGAGGGAGCCCCAGAAGAAGATAGAGGTGATAAAGAGAGAAATACGGGGACTGTTTCCAAGAATCAACAGAACGTGGAGTGTTAAGTACATGGCCCAGGTGACCAGGACAAGAGCAGAAGAGAGGGGGTGAAGAGGGGAATGAGTTGAGCTTTGGAATCTGCCCTCAGTACTGAGAGTTGTGTTGCCCAACCACGCATCAGAACAGGATGTCTCCTTTGGAGATGCCTCTACAATACCCCCAATGACAAACAGCTGAATCATAATGGTAATCATGCCGAAAGCAGGAAATGACACTTCTTGTGCTGTGGCACACACGGTGGGCAAACAGCAATCGGAATTTGAGGAATCTTTGAAAAAAGGAAATAGGAAGTTCAGACAAGGGGCACTGGTGATGAGGATCTTGGAGGAGCTTGGCTTGGAGGAGGAGCTTCTGTCATCATCCCCTTCCTCCCATTGCCAGCCACGCTTTGGTTACCACTGTAGACATAAGAACATCCAAACCTGTAGAGAATTTTTTTTTTTTATCCTCACTGGGGGACATGTTGTTTTTTTAACTGATTTTAGAGTGAGAAGGAGGTGGGAGGGTTGGGGGGCGGGGAGTAGAGAGGGGAGAGAGAAGCATTAGTGGTTGCCTCCCATCCTTGCCCTGACTGGGAATTGAACCTGAAACCTTCCTGGTGCACAGGACTATGCTCCAACTACTGAGTCACCAGCCAGGGAAGCAAGATCTCAGATGCTGGGCAGCACTGACAGTGTTGCCGTTTCTTTTACGCATTTGAGAGTAAAGCCCAAACGTCAGATTACGTAAAATTATATGAAAGTGGGGAAAAGCAAGGGGAGGATTGGATTACAGGACAGTTAACAAGATTATGTGCTCTCTTGTGGGTGGTTATGGTTTTTTCAAAAGTGTCTTAATCTAGATGCACAGAAACAACTGACAGAGCTTGCTTAAGGCAAGTACAAGCCTTGTGCAAGTTACATGCCTGAGGTGTGACTTCCCACCATGACCTGCCAAGTTAGGAGTTCAAGATCAGAACATCTTGTAAGGTTTACTTTCTATAGAACCATTTTTTCGTCCACACCACTAATGCTCTCACCTCCTGACCTTTGCCCAAGGTCTATCTTACAAATAAAAGGAAATAATAGTAAGATCTTAAGGCCCTTTAAAGAGGGATAAAGATAAAAACAATAAATTCTGGCCAAAACCGGTTTGGCTCAGAGGTAGAGCATCGGTCTGCGGACTGAAAGGTCCCGGGTTC